TAATACGTTATCAGAGCGAGAGGAAAACGGTCTGCATTCCTAACCTGACAATAAAGCCAAAGATAATTTATGAGGTCATTATTACCTCCACTGAAAAAAAAAGTCCTTGATTTTTCGGTTGCACGTGATTAAAATGTGTTAAACTAACAGATATCATGTGTTTATTTTTTAGGAAAACACAGGAAAAAGACATTGGTTTACCAGATTTTAATCATCTGCAACCAATGTATCCATCCATCCATCCATTTTCTAATCCACTTTTCCTCACGAGGGTCGTGGGTGTCCTGGAGGCTATCCCAGCCGTCTTTGGGCAGTCGGCGGGGGACACCCTGAACAGGTTGCCAGCCAATCGCAGGGCACACAAAGACAAACAACCATTGGCGCTCACACTCACACCAAGGGACAATTTAGAGTGTTCCATTAACCTGCTATGCATGTTTTTGGAATGTGGGAGGAAACCGGAGTACCTACAGAAAACCCGCACAGGCCCGGGGGAGGGGGGCATACAAACTACACACAGGAAGGCTGGAACCGGAATCAAACACTGCGCCTCTGCATTGTGAGGCTGACGTGCTAACCAGTCAATCACCGTGCCTCCCCATATACAGTATATGTATCTAACATTTGTTTCTTTATTTTATTGAATAAATATTAATTCTAAATCTACTAATTCAAAATAATACATTTCAAAAGGAATGCTATCCAGACACATTTTTGCTTTTCTTTTTCCCTCATGGAATGACTTGGCCCATTGATCTCAAAAGTTTGCCTCTCCCTCTGATCTGTAGAATCTCTTCAAAACATTTTACGTAACTGCCACTTGCTACTTCTGATAAGCTAAAATTAGACTTTATTGATCTGTCATGCTCATGATAAAATGGAACTGCAAAAACAAGCGCAGGTCATCACGTGCATTTGACTGACACCATTTTTCCCCGGTGATGTAGTCAGACAACTGGTTATTCTGTCCTCCTTGCGAATGTATTCCGGGACTTGCAGTCGATGCTCAGGAAAACTTATTTCACGTAGTTAAAATGATTGCTATGTTAAATATAAAATATACAAAATACATTGCTTTAGGGTTAAATCACTATCTCCTGCTAAATGTCTGAAGGAGTCATTCTCATCAAACTGTGACAGTAGAGACATATGGAAAACTTTTTTTTTATGGCTTAAATATCAGTAAAGCGTGACATCAAGCAATCAAGTGAATCTAGCCACTATCATGCAGAAAAAAAAAAATCTCACACACCATGTTGTCATGTCAAAGCCAAAAGCTAAGTACGTACACAAATGTTACTGGACGCGCAGATTAGCGTTAGCTAACAGCATTACCTTCTGATAAGCGCCATTTTCTTAAACGGTCTCTGAACTTGTCAACAAGATGGCAGTGGGACGTGTTTGTGTTTGGTGACATGACAATGTGCCACATACACGCAAGACGTGTGCCTCCGTGAATGGGAATGCTTTGTTTATCGTTTTGGGCTCTCGCTTCTGTCGTCCATTTGTATAAACCACATACTTCACTGTGGTGCCCTTGACTTGTGCAAATAAAGTACAAATTACGCCAATCGTGACCCAGACTGTAGTCTGTACACAGGCTTTATTTGACTGCAAATCACAAGATACACAAGTCAAAGCGACAGATTAGACTGTCAAGGTAAATCCTCTCAAACATGTAATGTGGCCAACCCACATGCCAACGAGGGCTGTCCACAAATTGAAATACCTCCTTAGCAAAAGTAGAAACCTTGTGTTTTCCCCACCTCAAGGCCATAAATTACACGGGAATAGATCGACACCGTAGCTGTTTTTTTTTTTTTCATGTGGAAGCTCAAATACTTGGCATGACATGCATGTGTCTGACTATTATTAAACCGTGTCACCAGTGACTGAACCCGGATTCTTCCTTCTTTTGTTTATTTCACATTGGTCTCCAGTAAATCTCCAACAGCCGTCCAAATACCAGCAGACTGTCTGGAAACCTGTTGGACTACCTCCATCTGCCCAACCACTGCGCACACCGCCCCGAAGCCACAGACATACACAAGCAAACAGCAGTAGTTACACAACTCAAAGCGTAGTCAGTTGACCTGACATGGTTGCTACATGCTACAATATGCAGGGAGACTACATTTTATTTGCTCTACTTGGAAATATGTCCCATGTGCAATAACAATTCAGTGGAATAATTCTTGACTGAAGTACTTGGAAATTCTACGTTTTGCGGGGAGAGTATGTTTATGTGATTGGACTTCTTTTGTTTTAACTCTATTATAGATGTAACTTATATGACTATTTAAAGATCCCCACCCATCCATAGGTGTTCTACAGCACTTTTTCCTCATGAGGGTTGCGTGTGAGCACGAGTCTAACGCAGTCACAGGGCACATATAGACAATTACATTTATGGAGAATTTAGAGCTCTCAGTGAATCTAACTTGCAAATTCGGGGAATTTGTGAGGAAGCCGGAGTACCTGGAGAAAATCCACGCAAGAACATGGAAAACTGAGAAGGCCAGAGCCAAGATTTGAAGTCTAAACCTTCGAACCGCAAGGCAGATGTGCTAACCACTTGTACAACTCAGCGTCTCAAGCAAATCCAGTACATTATTTGTTGGAGTGTTTCAATTGCAAGCACACAATGTATACTAGAAGTTGATATGATAACTTTTCATGGTTTATGATTTACTTAAATTGAATGTTTGCAATTTCAGAGATGTGTTTCTAAAAATACATTAGATGGGTTTGAAGATAACTGATAAAAATGTGAGAGGATTGAGAACAATGTAGCAGGGAATTGTGGCGATATAGCAGAGACGTGTCGTCAGGGTCAGGGCCTTCCCTGCAGGCCTAAACATTAAAATATTAATTATGATAATAGAAAATATAGAATTTTTAACACAAGTACTCAAGTCATCACTGTAAAAAAATTATAATAAAAGTTTAAATATCCCCCTTGGCACAGGATGGGAATGCTCAATGATCGTACTGTACTGGATATGCTGATGCTTACTTGTCTCCAGTTGAAGAGATGGTCATGTGTCAAACATTTATTTTCTCTTTTTCTTAAAAGCATTGCAGGAATGTTTTTACAGCTATGTCAACCTGTTTTGAATGTGCAGGTGCTGAAGTTTTATGTTACGCCGTGACTATGAACTAAACTATATGCACGAATAGTATGTTGAACCGCTGAAATCTGATCGGACTGACTCCAACATTTAAATTGAATAGCCTGCACTGTATTATTTGAAGGCTGTTAGCCATTAAACAGATGGACAGTTCTCCTAACACAAGTGATTGCAACAGATTATGTTTTACATAAAATAATATTTACTGGTTATTTGGGTGCAGAACAATGACTTATCCATCGGGAGTTGTGAGGTCCTGGGATTGAAAATACAAACCAATATAGCCGATAGAATACAAACTAGTACAAACTGATAACAACCCAACCTTCTGAGGGACAAATTCAAGTGTGCAGGGGTTGCCCATCACCAAAAAGTTTGGATTGCTGACTACCTCACGAACCAACCACACTGTGGTAGGACGCGGGACTGCAAGCCTGACATGCTTCTCTGTAGCACCGGGGCCCCACAAGGAACTGTCCTGGGTCCTTTCGTGTTCACCCTCCGCCTTCATATCACTAGTGGAAAAAGTAATGAATGGACCACAATGCGGTAAGACGTGGAATTGCAAGTCTGACATGCTTCTCTGTGGAACTGGGGCCCCACAAGGAACTGTCCTGGGGCCTTTTGTGTTTACCCTCCGCCTTCATATCAGTAGTGGAAAAACGAATGAGCAAACAGACATTGACGTCGTACAAACATGACTGGAGTGACAAAAACAAGTTCTCTGCAGGAAAGGTTACAGTTGCCTCTCCCTGCTCAGAGGGATGAGGGCTTTCAGTGTTCAGGGAATACTCATGAAGATTTATAACTCTGTGGCCGCAACATTTTTCTATGGAGTGGTCTGCTGGGCAGGCAGCATATCTGCTTGGGACAAAAGGAGCCTTAATGAGGACAAGCGGTATATATATATACTGGATTGATGGAATGTTAGGTTACTTGGGCAAAATGAAAACAAATCCTCCATCCTGCCATTAATACTTGTGTTTCATTCACCGGTTTATTGAGCTGTGGCGGTCCGACAGACCCTCAAGGGAAATCACTGCGTGTGCCAACATTCCTAATCAATAACTTAAGTGGCCTGTGTCTTTAATTATTTCACAGTATTGTTGACAGACATTTCACCCGAGTAATGACAAGTGGTCTGCATGCTGAATTAATCTCTGGCACGCACCAATTAGTTTCTCCGCGACGCAGACAGATGGCGGAAGCCTTGTGTCTGTTCACCATGAGACAATTTCATTGTTTTACAGTGACAAGCTTCCTCTTGTCATCAATACAAACTGTCTTCCTTTTAATGCGATGACACTGGTTCGTTATGCATTGTAAGAATTAGAAACACACAGTCACAATAGGTGCATGATGTTGCGACGGACTGTCAATACAATACATTTTCAATATATTAGACGAGGGTTGGGCAACTTCAACGCTGGAGGGGGGGGCTGCAATTTTTCATCAGTGCTACTGTGGTGCCACATCGGACCATGCACTTCCTCACCAGATGTATGACAAAAATGTTCTTTTAAATTGAGACAAAATACAAAATATCTACTCTTAATATTCTGTGAATTCTCAGCAGTTGGTGTTCCAGTGCTCTAGAAATTGAGTCGAGTCTGTATTTGTAGTTTTATACTCTTGTCTAAAAACTAAAGTGGTAATGTGTACTTTCTAATTTTTAAGCGCATGAGTTGATTCGGGACTTTTCTCTTTATTTCTTTGTGTTGCCATTTTTTTTAATGCAAACATTTATATTTCTGAAGTACAGAGTGCCTATACGTTTCACCACTTGCAGCTAGAGATTTTTTTTCTAAATTGTTGTTGTTGTGAAAGAGTGGGTGTTTTTTTTTTTTATCTCCACCCTCTCAGTAGAAAATGAGAGTGGGCTGCGTGAGGGATGAAGACATTTTTGATGGAAAAGGTCTGAAAATTTGACGACAGAGGTTTGACTTTGGATGTACGTCACTTGGACGACCGGAATTTTGTCTCTTTGTTTTGACAGAAAGTTTTCCTTTTTCTCCTCTTCCACAACTATGGGGGCACTGTGGCGGACCGCAGGCTGCGCGCTTTTGCTGCTGCTGTGCGGGCTGGATTTCTTGGTGTTCACACACGCCAACCGAAGGCTCGAGGTTTGCCAGCCCATATCCATCCCGCTGTGCGCCGACCTTCCCTACAACGAGACCATCATGCCGAACCTCCTGGGCCACAGCACCCAAGCAGACGCAGCTACGGATATGCGCCGCTTCGACCCCCTGTTGCAGGCCCGCTGCTCAGCGGATCTCAAATTCTTCCTGTGCAGCGTGTACGCTCCTGTGTGCACCGTTTTGGAAGAACCCATCCCCCCTTGCCGGACTCTGTGTGAGCACGCACACCGAGAATGCGAAGCCAATATAACCGCGATAGGCCTGGAATGGCCGGAGAGGATTCGCTGCGAGAAGTTCCTGGTGGGCGAATTGTGCGTGGGCACTGTGGGCGCAGTCTAGCATACGCAGGAGCCTCCATTTTTTTCAGCTTCTGTCTCTTCTACACGATCGCCATCATTATGAACTGTTTGAACATGAACATAATGTACTTAATAATGATTCATCCATCCATATTCTCGACTAGGATTATGGTTGAACTGGAGCCTAACCCATCTTACTTTTGGAAGGAATCAGGATACACCCAGGACTGGTCACCAGCTGATGACAAGACATATGGGGAAAATAAATAAAAAAATAAATGCATTGTACACTGAAGTGAAAGTTAAACAACTTAAATGTTTAAACACATGCCAACGATAACATGCAAATGCATGGAACTTCAAAGTTGAATACAACTGAACTGCACAGAGGCAGTGATTCTTTTCTGTACCACTATAGCAGGGGTGTCAAACTCATTTTTGTTGTGGGCCACATTGTAGTTACCGTTTCACTTGGAGGGCCGTTATGACTGAAACCAAATTAAAAAAGTCAATTTACTCAACTATTGTTTAAGTTGCTGGACTGAGGGGTTTGGTTCCAAGAAAATGCTTACAAAATGTGTCTTATTTATTACATTTGAAAATGTTAAATTTTGGTCGAGATTTTAGCAAGCATCATGGAAGTTGACATGTTTGATTTGCTTTCGCGTTCCGCATAATATGATGTGGCGTGCCAGATATGGGGCCCGGGCCTTGAGTTTGACACGTGTGCACTAGAGGGAGCCCTGGTGTCTGTAGTTGTACATGTGAAGGAGCAACGACACTATGAGATTCAAGGCGTAACCTTTTTGAAAATAAGGGTGTGTATTTTTTCATTTTAAGAAAGTAATACTTTCCAAAGGGCGGCCCGATGATCGAGTAGTTTGCGTGTCGACCTCACAGTGCGGAGGTCATGGGTTCGATCCCGGCTCCGGCCTCCCTGTGTGGAGTTTGCATGTTCTCCCCGAGCCTGCGTGGGTTTTCTCTGGGTACTCTGGTTTCCTCCCACATTCCAAAAACATGTATGGCAGGCTGATTGAACATTCAAAATTGTCCCTAGGTGTGAGAGTGAGCACGGATGGTTGTTTGTCTCTGTGTGCCCTGCGATTGGCTGGCAACCGGTTCAGGGTGTCCCCCCGCCTACTGCCCGATGGCAGCTGGGATAGGCTCCAGCACGCCCTGCAACCTTTGTGAGGATAAAGCTGACCAGAAAATGGATGGATGGATGGATATTTTGAAAAAGGCGGAACATATTTTCAAGAGTGATTCATCATTTCACAAGAATAAAGATGTCACAAGTTCTAGATAATCGACAATAAGCTTTTTTTTGTTAGATTTACTGTAAATCATAATTTCACAAGAAGGACACATCATCATCAAATTATCGACATACAATATTATCTCCACTGATATCTCCTTCATTTCCCTTTGTAAAAGGATGACTTAATTCTTGTAATGTTAGGACTTATATCAAAATATATGTATAACTTTTATGTTTTAAAAAAAATGTATTTTTTCCCCTCATAATATTGGAATTCATTTTTGCATTAGTCGACTTAAATCACTTCATGTATTTTTTTTTCCTTTTCAGTGTTGCCTTTTTGACCCAGAAAATTATCAAGACATTTAAAACAACAACAAAAAAGAAACTGATTGAAAAGTTTTATGCACAACAAAAAGCCGGAAAAAAGATTGATTCTGCAGATATGTATTGATTTGTTTTCATTTTAATGCTCCGAAACACAGTTGATGTGTGAATTGTTGCTGTTTCATGCGCCAAAATGTAGTTGTCATGTAAAAATGAATGCCACCCCCCCAAAAAAAAACAAACAAACATGTTTTGATCCCTTTTCTGTTGAAAACAGTCTCTTGGTTTGCTTTGGTGCATCTTTTTTTTTTTTTTTTTTGAGACATTCTTAGCTTTTGGTTATATGAAGTGTCTATTATTGGGGATACTATTTTTGCAGCATTTTATCTGATTATACAACAGTGACAAAGATCACTTTGTATAATAAGTGATCATGTGTTTGCTCGTTTTATTTGCTCCACAGCAATTCAAGCTGTCATCGTAGACTCACGGTACCATTGATGTTAAAAATATTTACTTTTGAAGAGCAAAACGATTCAAGCCTTTTGCAAAATGTGGCAGTGTTGTCAGTGGTTTGATTGAAGCGTGTTAAGCACTAAGAACGTTTGTAGAACATATCTGACATCATTTGTGAAAGAGTTATGCCCCAGTAACCATTATGGCATGAACGCAAATATAAGTGTAAGTATTATTTCGTTATATTGTAAGTGGTTAGCTGTAAGACATGTTAAGGGTTAACATTCTGAGACTTGAAGTGCTTTGGGATCATAGTGTGGGGTGCAATTACTATTTAAACTAGGGTTGTTAAACTCGTTTGCACTACGAGGCATATCATAGTTATGGTTTAGGGAGGCTAAAATATATCATTGCTAAATCATCAAAAATCCAATTTCGGTATGAACTGTGCTTTGGGTTCTAGTTCAAGGTTCAAATCACATTGGGTCCAGCAAAGGAACCAACTCCAAAACAGAGTGTTGGAAGTCACTGAAAATCAAACTTTAACTGCTTAAATCTGTTCTTTTTAGGAATGTGCAACATAGTTTTCCTTCTGCTCGAGTGTGAGGCAGTTACAGTTCTTGGCCCTTACCTAATATTTTCTGCATGGGAACTCTAATCACCACCCTAAAAGTGTCCATGCATTTGAGTATCATCATTTTTGTCATCTGTTTGACACAGTTTGACACCTGCTTTTAGACCTACAGGGGATCCAGGAGCTGTATCTTGGGTTATAATCTTACAAGTCTAAAGTTGTATTTAGCAAATGTACTTTTTAAAATGTGACTCTCTTTCCTTATTAAACTTTGACTTTAATGTAACAATGTTATTACTTCATTTTGGAAAAATATGACGTTATTCTCGTGTAATGTTCATTTCCAGTTAGGATGATGAGGGGATGGAAAATGGTCTATGAGGAATTGTGAAGGTTGATGACAATTGAAGCGTGAAAAGAGAAACCATCATTGGTTTTCTCATTTAGTCCCAGGAGAAATCACGTGTTGACAAACTATTGCTTTTGCGAGATGCCTAATCCAAATTGACCTTCTGGCCCATTTCAACACAAGTTTACTTGTTGTTTGGAGGCTCGCTGACAGCAAGGAACTCCACTGACTTTTCTTTTTTTGGCTTGAGCGTCACCCCAACTGGATCTCCCACTCTTTTCTCCCCCTGCCTCCCCGACCTTCTCTCTTCTTCCTTTCCTGTCCCCTCCCCCTATGCCGACCTACCCCCACATCCTTTCATCCCACTCAGGCAAGAAACCAAATGCAGCGAGGCCAACAAGAACTGCCTACACCACCACCCTCACATTTTGGCTTGTGTGTGTGTGTGTGTGTGTGTGTGTGTGTGTGTGTGTGTGTGTGTGTGTGTGTGGGTGTGTGTGTGTGTGTGTGTGTGTGTGTGTGTGTGAATCGATTGTGTTGTAAATTCGACCTAGTGTTGGTGTTTGTTCTCACATTGGTTGTTGCTGGAGGTGTTGCAGGGGATAATGGGGGGCTTGCTTAGAACTTTAGACATTTGAAAGACTTTGCCACACTTGCCATGGGCCTGAAATTTTGAGACAGATAGATAGCTAGATAGATAGCACATTGGTTTCAGTTAAAAAGTAAACTTTTCCCACATTGATCGCATATTGCTTTTAGTTTAAAAAAAAACTTTTCCTTCTAATGTCTGTCACTTTTTCTTGAGAACTTGGCATGAGTCGTGGTTGCGATTATTTCAGCAAAATCTCTGGTGTAATTTAATTACTGTAGCATATTTTCCTCCGACGAGGAGTAAACGGCCAATCAGCGACGAGTCCAGTAGGAAAACAAGCGCCGCGATTGGCTGAGACACCAATGTCGGTTTCCAGGCGCCCCGCGGTCGACTGAGTAGGGGGAGGGGGTTCTTGTGAATGGAGGGGTGCCTTAAAACCGACCACAGTGACGAGAACGAGCGAGCCTGCGGACTCCCAACCGCCTGGAGAAGCCGACACTCAGCCGGGTCGAGCCACAAAAGATAGCAATTTAGGACTCTTTTCTTTCGCGTTTTTTTCCACCAAAGCAACAACCGAGCGTTGAACTCAGCCTGAGACCTTTGATTCCCGTCGTTTTTGCTTTTTCGAATAGTGCAGGACGTGTTTATTCCCCCCCTCTCACCGGAGAAGTGAGAGTGGGCTGCTTGGAGTCACTTACAAAGACCATCAAGAAGTCATGACACGACGGAGATTTTATTTGGATGAAAGTGTATGAACTAAGCCCGGATTCGACCGTGGGTGGACCCGTTCGAGATACACGGACTACCAGCGACGCGCGGGGACGTTACGTGCAGATTTGCGACGCTGTTTTGGTCCCTTTTTGAGTCGCCCTACTTGGATCAAAGTTTTTCCTTCCTTCCCTCCCTCCCCCTCTCCTCCTCCTCCTCATCCTCCTCAACTATGGCGGCGGCCGGGTCCACCGCTGGCTCCGTGCTTGTGCGGATCATGTGGCTGCTGTGCGGCTTGTCCTTCTCACCCTCTTCTGCTCAACACTACAACAGCGAGAGCGGAATATCCATACCGGAGCATGGATTTTGCCAGCCCATTTCCATACCACTGTGTACCGACATCGCCTACAACCAGACCATCATGCCGAACCTCCTGGGCCACACCAACCAAGAAGACGCGGGGCTGGAGGTGCACCAGTTCTACCCCCTGGTGAAGGTCCAATGCTCGGCCGATTTAAAATTCTTCCTGTGCTCGATGTACGCTCCTGTGTGCACGGTTCTGGAGCAAGCCATCCCTCCTTGCCGGTCGCTCTGTGAGCGCGCACGTCAAGGGTGTGAAGCCCTGATGAACAAATTCGGTTTCCAGTGGCCCGAGAGACTTCGCTGCGAGGCGTTCCCGGTCCACGGGGCCGGTGAGATCTGCGTGGGTCAGAACACGTCGGAGCCCAGCAGCCCGGGCTCCTCGTCTTCCCCGTATGCTCCCGAACTGGTCACCCTTCCCCCCAGCTTGAGCCGACCCAAGCCTCCGCCGCACAACCAGTACCCGGAGTTCTCATGCCCGCTGCAGCTGGATGTTCCGTCCTACCTGGGCTACAAATTCATGGGGGTCAAAGACTGCGGGGCGCCCTGCGAACCCACCAAGCCCACCGGGATCATGTACTTCCGGGAGGACGAAGTGAAATTTGGTCGGCTCTGGGTGGGCATCTGGTCCATCCTGTGCTGCGTGAGCACTCTGTTCACGGTGCTCACTTACCTGGTGGACATGAGGCGCTTCCGCTACCCCGAGCGACCCATCATCTTCCTGTCTGGTTGTTACTTCATGGTGGCCGTGGCCTACGCAGCAGGCTTCTTCCTGGAGGACAGGGTGGTGTGCGTGGATAAATTCAAGGAGGACGGTTACAGGACAGTGGCCCAGGGGACCAAAAAGGAGGGCTGTACCATCCTCTTCATGGTCTTGTACTTTTTCGGGATGGCCAGCTCCATCTGGTGGGTCATCCTGTCCCTCACGTGGTTCCTGTCAGCCGGCATGAAATGGGGCCACGAGGCCATCGAAGCCAACTCACAGTATTTCCACCTGGCCGCGTGGGCCGTGCCCGCCATCAAGACCATCACCATCCTGGCCATGGGCCAGGTGGACGGCGACGTGCTGACCGGCGTGTGTTTCGTGGGCATCTTCAACGTGGACGCCCTCCGCGGCTTCGTCCTGGCCCCGCTCTTCGTCTACCTGTTCATCGGCACTTCCTTCCTGCTGGCCGGCTTCGTGTCCCTTTTCCGGATCCGCACCATCATGAAGCACGACGGCACCAAGACGGAGAAGCTGGAGAAGCTGATGGTGCGCATCGGCGTGTTCAGCGTGCTCTACACGGTCCCGGCCACCATCGTCATCGCCTGCTACTTCTACGAGCAGGCCTTCCGAGAGCACTGGGAGCGCACCTGGCACATGCAGACCTGCAAGCGCTTCGCCGTGCCCTGCCCGCTCCACAACTTTGCCCCCATGACGCCCGACTTCACCGTTTTCATGATCAAATACCTGATGACCATGATCGTCGGGATCACCTCAGGCTTCTGGGTCTGGTCCGGCAAGACCTTGCAGTCGTGGAGGAGGTTCTACAAGCGCCTTAGCAACGGTAACCACGGAGAGACCACGGTGTGAAGTGGAAACAAGGTACAAAACTACAAAAATAGAGAAATGAGGTCGGATAGCTTTCAATTTTCTACGATTTTGGACTTATTTTTCTATTTGTGACAACCTCGCAAGCCCACAGACAGAACTTTTTCTCTATATTCGATATTAAATGGAAGAATCTGCAGTTTTCTTTTAAATGGTCCCTGAACTCTTGATGGGGTTTTTTTTGTACTTTTGGATCTTAAACACATAAGCTCTCTGTCATTAACACCGGACTTGAAGTTACCCTTAATTAGTCACTCACTACACCATTATTGTGTTTTCTTCCATGTTGAATGTACGTTGTGTGTCCGCTCACACGGTGGCCAAACATGATGGAATGAGACTGATGGGCCTAAACAAAGTGCCAAGTGCAGCCAAAAGGTCCAAAGACTGTGAACGCGTTCCATAGGCATACCTGGGGTCGACATTTTAAGTTACTCTGCTTGTAGACTGAAATGCTTTAAATTGTCTGTTAGATTTTATGAAAAAAAAAACAACAAAAAAAGGAGCAGCAGCCCCTCACGTTGTTGCCAAATGGCTACGCACAATTCTCAGTAAAAAACCTTTGCCTTTTTTTTCTTTTTCTCCCGCATTGAATGTTCACTCCGAAGGCGAATGAAGTTACTGTTTGTGGTAGTTTGCACAAAGTTTTTTTTTTTTTTTCTTTTTTTAAGTGTTGAAATAAGTGACTGTTACACTACAAAAGGCTTGTTCGCTTTAGATGTAATAGTGGCAACTCAATTCCCAATTTCTTTGGACCCTAGAACGGAAGAGCCACATTTGGTCTGTTGCTGCCATTCTGCCACCCCCCGTCCCCTCCTCCTCAACCCCAACTGTTCAATGCAGTCCGAGCGCTCCTCATCGCTCTTGAACTATTCTCGCATCTACAGTATAAACCTTTTTTTACGAGTTGTGATGTTTTTGTGTCCCGTTTCATTATGAACTCATCAGCACCATGAAATGGCCGCATTTCCCTTGCAAGACTTTTGGAGACCACACACACACACACATGGGCCTTAGCCCCGGTCTGTGTGTGTGTGTGGTCCCTTACATTGGTGGACCCCCGATCAGAAAGACTGTTAATAGGTTTCTTCTGTGGGAGTGGATATGGTGCTTGAGAACTTTTGAATGTTTATTCTTGCTTAGATAAAGACGATTGTTCACACTTTAAGCCTGCCATTCTTTATTTTTGTTACATTTAGACGTGTTTAAATCTGTACGGGGGGGAGGGCGGGAGGATATATATATATAAAATATATTTTTGAAGTTGTTCCACATCCAGACTGACCTTTCCATACAGGACGAAGGCGCATGCGCTTTATGATCCGCTAGCGTGTGCCATACAGAAGCCATGTTTCTGTTCTTGATCCTACATCTCCGAAAAAGCACAGATGATTTTAAAAGTAACGTCGCTAGTGGTTTGAGTGTCGAGACATACCTCACTGTGTTTAGCAGTTGTCACTCGTATGCATGTCTAAGTGTGCTTGCATTTACATGACCTCGAAATGTTTACCGGTTCATAATGTTTTTACTTATGGACATGAACCAAGTGTCCTCAGAAAATAACTCGACCCATATGTGTTTTACAGGCAAGTACTGCTCGAACATGGAGTCCGAGTAATTAAAAAAAAATATGTATTGTATATTGGAGACACTATACACTTTCAGGTAGGCATTGAAAATGGTTCAACCCTGAGTAACAGCTCTTCGGAACAGGGCTTAAAATTACAAGTCTGTAGAAGAACCCTGTTGTTGCAACATCATTTTTTTGGGGGGGGGGGTCATGTTGCACAATTTTGTATGTGTAAATAAGGCAAAGATAGTGTTTAAGATGGATGGAGAATTAGTTTTTTTTGTGTCCATCGCACAAACTATATTGTAAACACTAGACCGCACATAATCCAAGAATACAGTTCATACTCATTTTGGTAGTGACATCCTAACAGTTCATGTTAAAGAAATCCCCATATGAATGTGTAAGGGAGGCAGTGTGAATGATGCAAGATTTGCCCCTTATTTTTTTTTTTTTTTGGTATCGATTCAGATTTATGCATGTATGTATGTGCGTGTGTGTGTGCGCGCATTGGAGCATTATGCAAATTAGCCATTTAACAGCCCCAACTTCTTATATTGTATTTATGGGGATGCTCATCTGTCTCTTTTTTTTGTTTGTTTTTTTTTAAAAGCCTGTGTCTGTACAGTCTGAATTAAAGTGATAAGGTTTGTAAAGTTGTCGTGTGGCCTTGGTGGTTTTGTACAAGAATTTGACGCGTTACTGACGGTTCACCCGTTCCGTATCGGGTTGCGCTCAAGTTGTTTTGTCAATAAGCGCTTGCATTTCTTCACAGCGACCATTTTAGACTCTCGAAGCATTTCAGGCAAAACAGTCCTGTCCGAGACACATGACCTATTAGATATCAGCAGTGACACAGAGGCTACATTGTGAGCCAGCTTAACAGAAAATGTCGCCAGATTGCGCACAACTCTTAATGGTTCACGTTGCTGCTGCTACTGCGGCTGACAAATCTACTCTTTTAACTCATGAACTGATTCCATTTTCCACCATTTTATGTGGTTTGTAAACTCCAAAATGCCTGACGCAATGTGTGCTCTTTTTTCAAACACGCCAATTTAAGTGATAAATCATTTTAATTGTGACACCGACATCTTTGCTCATCTCTTGAAGTACTTACTCGTTCAAATATACAGTGACTATTAAAAGGCCACGCACGCCTATTCAAATGGCGGATTTGTGTAATAAAAAAAAAAAAAAATTGCACGAAGTTAGTTTAAAAATGTTTTTCACCCTTGTGGTGTATAACCTGTTCAACTCAATTGAATGTATTTTATTTTTTAACGTATTTTTGAGAAGTAAAATAACTGAAATGATGTAGTTGCGCAAGTGTGCACACGTCATAACTGGAACGTGGCTGTGTTCAGAATTCCATTAAAACTCATGATAAATGGGAGTTCACACACACTTTCCACGATTTAGAGTTCCTCTGATTAAAACCAAATATAGTTTAGCTGTTCTTGTAGGCTTTTCCTGACTTTTTTTTTTTTTTTTGCTCTTTTACAGAAGCCTCAAAGTTTTGTGCTCTAGTTTAGCTGTTCTTGTAGGCTTTTCCTGACTTTTGTTTTTTTTTGCTCTTTTACAGAAGCCTAAAAGTTTTGTGCTTAACATTATTTCGGGCTGTCCGTTATCTGTCCAACTTTTCTAAAGCCTCAGTTCTCGCGGAACCAAAATTGAATTAAACCATGATGCTGCCACCAACATGCTTTACGGTCGCTGTGGGGCACTTTTGGTAATGAGCACCCTTTGCATTTATGGCCAAATGGTTAAACCTTGTTTTCATTGGACGATGGAAAGGTCTCCTCCACATCATTGGGAAAATGTATTATGGGCTGATAAAAATCAAGGTGTTATTGGACCATAACACATATTTTTTTTTTTTGCTATAATTCCAAAAGGTGTTTTTGGTGCAAACAACATTACTCGCCAAAACAACTCCATACCTGCAAGTGAAGTATGACGGTGGCAGCATCATGCTTTGGGCTTGCTTTTCTTCAGCTGGAACTGTCAAAGCGGAGAGAATTATCAACAGTTAATAGCAGTCAGTGTCAGGACAAAACCTTCAGGCTTCTTTTCAAAAGCAAAAACGTGTCAGGGGAAAGCCTTCTAGAACCGCCGAACTAGATCAGAGGTACAGTACTTTAAATGGTGGCGGGTGTGTGCTGAGTTTCATTTAACATGAGGTTGGATGTTACAGTATTGGTTAAATATGACCACAGACACGTCAGCTCCCACTTGTAAGAGGGTGTGCATCCTTGTGCAACTTGATTATTTCAGTTGTTCATTTTTGCTTCCCCTTTTTAAAAGGATTTTTACAAAACTAATCGAGCTCCACGCGTATTTTTATCGACTCTTTATGACATATAATACAACAAATTCCATTCCTAAAAATTCTAATCACATTATTTTCAGCACGTCTCTTTATTTGAACTACGTCATGTCCATGTTGGCAAAAGTGCATTTGTAAAAAAAAAAAAAAGTATTTTTATGCATGAAAAATATTGACTATTTTCTTTTACGCAATTACATGACAATACACAGGAGTAATACGAATTGATCGTCTCAGTGTGTAAAAATGCTTTGATTGATCTAAAACCAGAAGGTATTATTCTATTATTAACCAGGATATAATCTGTCGAGCAGCTTTCGGTTCATGACAGCTCTGATATCCAACTTTGTGAAATTCCGAATGGCACACACAGAACTGGTTTGAGCAGTGACATAAGAATATATTGTCACGTGGCACAAGGAAGCACGCTCAGTTACTGCTCTACCTGTCATTTCACTCTTTTAGATTCATTGCCTGGAAGTGTTTTCATTCACTTATGAACTGTAATTAATAAATATGACTTAGTTACAGTCACAAATATTTTCATTTGATTCTCTTGTATTTATGGCCGATAAGTGTTTTTCATACTATCAAATATCGACTGCAATTATGAATTTACTTTGTCGGCTCCCACAATGATTCATGGAAAATGCATTGAAAAATGGCCATCAGGTTTTTCCCTCAGTTATCGTGAGCATTTTCCGCCTCTTTTGTGCGATTCACAACATTAGCAAAACTATGAGAACAAGCAAACAAGTAAAAGGAATCTCAAACAAACAAGAAAACAAAGCAAGGAATTGCAAAAAAAACCCAACAACAATCAAACAAAAAAAAGCATCACAAACAAAAAGTAAGCAATAAACCAATGAATGAGTTTGTACAACATAGATGAAGACATGTTCATGTCATATTTTAAAAAGCGTGGCTAAGTTAGCAATAGGAGGAAGACCAAGATGGCGCTTTGATAAAGCTCGTACATATTGACAGAAAGTATTGATAATATTCATTTCACCCTAATACAAGGTCTAATTACGTCATTCCTAAATCTAAGAAAGATGTGCTATTATTTATTTATTCTATGTATTATTTTTACATTTTAAAATATGTTTTTGCTTAATCTGATGTCTGATTTGTATTATTTTTCTCATACGCGGTGCTTCTGTTTAAAAAAAAAAAAAAGATGAACAAAAAAGGTTAAGCAACGAATATTTACGAAACACTTCCGGTTCGTGCTCTCATTGTGAAACTGAATTGGGACCACTTCTGGTACCTGACTTAGCGACGTGCAACAACTTTACGATCTCTTCCTGGTCACGTGGGTACCTGGAAAACGTCGCCCTAAAACACTCGTGACCAAACATTTTTGGTGGAACCGACTATGGCCGGTCAGACATTTCAATAAGTATGATACATTTTACTGATCAACGCACACGGCTAAACGAACTCACAACACTGTGCACACACAAGTTGCATTGCTTTACGGGGGCATTATTGGAGAAAAAAAAACATTTAGAAATGCGTATTTCAATGCACAAGGGCAAAAAAAAAAAAAAATTGAAATGCGTATTTCAATGCACAAATATATAAAAAGAATATGCATCCGTAACCAGTCACAATTGTCTAACGAGAATCATAAAATGCGTCATCGATGTTACTAATGTGTTAAAATGTGCACTCATTTGTATGCGAAAATATACGGTTCAATGTATCCTCTCTTGTAGACTCTTTCAAAGATGATGCAGCGAGAGTGGCAGCCTTTACAACAGCTCCCATCCCTGTTTAAGTTTCTTTTCGTCCTTTTATTTATCTCATCTTGGGAATTTCTCCATTGTGAGACAAGTAAAGGTTTTCTTATACATCTGTAAGTGTTCGATCTTAAACATCGAAGCCTCTTGTTTGGCTGGATCTTCACATTTGACTTTTGCTACAATCCTGCCGTACACGACTCACAAATGCGTGCGGTGATTTGCGAATAGGTGGCTGGAGATGTGTGTGTTCACATCCAGACCACAACTGAACGCTCGTACCACTAATATTCCCAATTCGGTTGCAATTTTGTTGACCCGGCCATCGCCGGCGTTTGCTTATTTTGCGTGTTTCGGAGAAGGGGAACATGGTTGCATATGATGGGAAAGTACTATTTATTTAACATTCTTTAAAATGGAACAATTGAAAGCGTACTTACTGCACGCCGACCAGATTCCATTGGGTCATCTGTCTGATGCACCTGTAGAATACTAGCGCCCTCTTGTGGTCTGAAAGTACGGCTACGCCCACAGCACGCATTTGTGAGTTGTCTTCTGCAGGACTCTATCAAAAGTGGCTGCGCACGCACGCACGCGCGCGCGCACACTCGCACGCACACACGCGCGCACACACACACGCACACACACAAAAAAAGGATACAGTCAACCAAGAGGCTCGGCGTTTACAGATCACACGCTGACAGATTTATGGACGTGCATTTCCACATACAAATCAATGTACACATTTGCAAAATAATGTGACACGTGTGTAACATCAGTTAACATCAACATCAGTCAACATTCGACCAAGTTGCAGGCTCCTCGAAACACGTGTGGCACGGTGCATGCGGAAGTCACGTGAACTCAATTTTCACACGTGAACATTATACAAAGTATGCAAATTAGTAACCGTCCTTAAGGTTACGAAGGACTTTGTAGCCTTTTCTATAGTAATAAACTAAAACTAAAATGAAAAAGTGGTGTTCCAGGGGCAAGTTATTTACAGATGGCTCCAAAACGGATTGATATGATTGAAAATGAGTCCCAGTTTTATTTTACTAAGAAAAAAAGTCCAAAATGTGACTTTATTTTAGTGAAAACTGGACCACGATAAGGGTGTAAGTTTTTGTAATAGCCAGCCACTACCTTGAGCCAACAAGTTATTGGATTAGATCGAGGGTGAGATGAATTTAATTTTATGTACCTAATGAAGATGAAAATAACGTGTATGTTTTATTGCAGGTTTACAGAGTTTTAACAAGAGGAACTTTGGTCATCGATTTTGCCTCTTTAAATGTTTTTGCACTTAAATGCATGTAAACCTAGAAAGACAAATGATAGCTTGTTGTAACTATTTTGCTGCAACGCTTCGGACGCAATGCCCTTTGTAGACATTGTTCTCTTTCTGCTTGAAGTATCTGGATTGATTTGAAATTTTTGCAGCAACATCAATCGGTATTTTCATTCGTTAGGATTGACTGCAAGATGGTGAAACTCCATGCAACCTCAGAGGTAAAACCTGCCGATCCTCGAAATGGGACTTCTCCTAACACAGGCTTTAGCAGAAATATTCGGTTTAGTCTAGCAACAGCATTACAAAGACAAGAAAAAAAAAAGATATTTCCATCAGGTAGGATTCATTTTTAAAAGAGTTGCTTTAATGAGATTCTTGCAATAAAAAAGCCCCTTTTTTCACCACAGAAATCTTTGCACGTCTCAGGAAGGTTGAAGCCATACATAAAGGTAAAAGATGTACATTGTCAGGTAAATCCACCACAGCAATCCCGCTGTCCGCAAAACTAAAAGTGCAGCTGACAACCAAATTTTGACACAGAAACAATATCAAAACAATCGGTCACGTATTTAGCATTTTATGGGCATTAAGCTTTTTCTTCCCCATACACATTCACAAAAGAGCAAAAGCTTCAAGTTGCTTGCGATTGACTGGCAACCTGTTCAGGGTGTACCCCGCCTACTGTCCAAAGACAGCTGGGAGAGGCTCTAGCACGCCTGCAACCCTCGTGAGGATAAGCGGATAAGAAAATGGATGGATGGAGGTCAATCTGTGTGTACCGAACCGAAAAAATACAGGGGTCAACTGTAATATAAAAAAAAAGAGTGGTTGACAAAAAAAAAAACATAACTAACTAAGAGTGCATTTTACATTTCGAAAGCAAACTATTATTATCGCAAAAATATCCTTGATTTGCATCATTGAGAATGAATTTTGGACACGAGATTTTGGTGACTTGTTTTAAATGTATTTATTTTGGTCTTTCTGCACAGCCGCACAGAAGAAGGAAACTCAAAACCGTTGTTTGGGAATTGTCGTTTACTTTATTGATGTTTTTTTACCATGCACTCCGCAAATATTCCAAATTCAGTGTATATATATATATATATATATATATAACATTAAACTAATTAAAAAAATACTTTCTGAACTAATTAAAAAAACAAAGTCAAAAGGAAATGAAAGAATCATAATAATTCCAAAGCTATTGTAAACCAGGTTTGTATTAAAATCTGTTTTACTGTACATGTGACTCACATCAATGTTTTTTCTTTCTTTTCCATTGCTATTTGCATATTTCATCTCAGTAAATTATCCACATTTGACAGCTTTTCCACCCCTTGATATTTCAACAATTTGTCCACAAAGAAAAAAAAAACCCTTTCACACTCAGTTGCACATCAATTCATTTCAGAAATATTTGCTCTCTTATTACATCTTCAACGTCACGTTCTTCAAACTGTTTTGTCTTTGCTTGTAGTATCTGGCTTGATTTGACATTTGCCGCAACTACATCTGCTATTTTTATTCTTTGGGATATGAAAGGTGGCGGAGAGAGATGGTGAAACTCCACGCAACCTCTGAGGTAAAACCTGCACAACCCCTCCATCCTCTGAATTCGTTTCTTTTCCTAACACCAGGCTTTAGCAGTAATACTTGGCCCGGTGGAGGAATAGTTGTCGAAACATAATGAAAGCTGACATTTCCATCACATGTCATTAATTTTCAAGAGAGTTATTTTAACCCCATTCGGAGACAACGGTTACAACAGTGGACGCCTTATCATGTGATCAGGTTACAGGTTATCACGATTGGCGCATGAAAGGGTTAATGAGATTCTCGCAAGAAAAAGACCTTTTTCTTCCACGTTCGCTTGCAGGCTTCTCTTATCTTGGGAAGTTTGAAGCCATACATGAAGGGGGTGATGATTGGCTGGCAAACCAGCAGATACATTGAAAAAAAAAATCTGGACCTTTTCTGAGAAATGACGCGCATCGTTCCAGCTGTCAAAAAAGACAAAAGCGCAGCCAACCAACAAGTTGGACACAGAAACAATCTGAGGCGTGCAGGTAGTGATCGCTTTCTGCTTATTCTCTTTGGAGGTATCAAAACAAACGAGCAGGATCTTGACGTAGGACACCGCGATCAGCCCGACCGGGAAGACACTGGTCAGGAAGGTAAACATGTCAATGATGCTATTGACCTTGGAAACGGAACACGCAAGTTTAGCCACTAATTGATGGTCACAAAACACTTTGTCAATCACGTTTCCGCACAATTACAAATTGACGACAAAGACGACGGTGAGCAGGCAATTGGCGCACGAAAACATCCAGATCAGTGGCACGACGACGCCCACCGTCCCCGCGCTCATGATGCTGCTGTAGTGTAAGGGCTTGCAGATGGAGATGTAGCGATCATAAGCCATGACTGCCAAACTGCAAAACTCCACAGAGGCGGAAGTGTACATCCAACCCATCTGTAGAAAGCACCAGGAAAGGGGCACTTGATGTGCGTCTGAGAACATCTGTGAGAGCATGAGAGGATACAGGGACGTGCTGCCGCTTATCTCGTTCACCAGTAAGTTGCACAGTAACATGTACACCGGCTCGTGAAGCCTCCTGTCCGCAAATATGACCGCAATGAGCAGAGTGTTGGCCGCGCAGATCGAACAGTACCACAGCAGCAATATGAAGAAATACAAGTACTTCAACTGTCCCATGTCACTGTAGGCAGCCAGCACGAAGTACTCAATCTCACTCGAGTTCTCCATTTCTTAAGCGCATTGCTCCGATGAGGCAAAGTAGCGCAGCGTCGATCGTAGCTGGACTCACACAAATATTTATAAATCAATGCGAACACATAAACAGACATTCAGGCCCGAGGAAGATTAATGACGGTCACCTGAGAAATGCAAAAAACATATCATGAAAATGGCTTAAGAGGGCAGGCACATGTTCCACATCGCTTTCATTTCGTCACATTCACTACTGCTGGTTGAATGTCCTGGATGCTCTGAAAGAAAAAAACATCGTCAATCACATACAGCAAGTAAATAGACGTTATGTATGTCGTGTGTGTGTGTGATGGTGCACCTTGCAAGGGTCAAGGTGAACTCTTGGTGGCTCCTGATTTTGCTCCTCCCAGTCAACCGGAGAATGTCTTTATATCAATGTATACATGAGGTTCAGTGAGGCAGGTCACATGACTGGCTCAACAAGTCTTTGACAAGTCACATTTTCGAAAAACTTCCTTGATTTTGTTCTTTCATTTATGCAAGTATTGTTCCTGTAAATATCAACGTCTACACACCCCTGTTCAAATTCCAGGTTACTGTACAACACAGCAAATCATTTCAAAACGTTTACGTTTAAAGTGACCTTCAACTGTCAATTTGGCGGAAAAAAAAAATCTTTTGGAAATCCTTTTGTATGCTTCTCCTGACTGATACATTCGATCAGTGAGCTCCTTCTGAAGCCGCGGAAGGTCACTTCAGACCTCTGCAGTAAAATGTGACTGAAAATGTCTGAAAAAAACCTACTTGAACATCTGACCTTTACTTCGGATGAATCAGATGCATTTTAAATGTTGGCTGTTGTGTGACGACCCCCATAAAACATGAGTCAGAATGTGACTGGTTCATTCTGCACACAACCACATCACCATTGATGAGGCAAGTGTGCGCACTTGAGCAACCACATTATCTCAATTGTTTATTTTTTTTTGCTTCCCTCTTTAAATTTGTTTATTTTTTTTCCTGATGGAGAACAGACATATCGACACCAGCTGCAAGAAAGCTGGAATCGCAGGTTTCCCAGGCTGTGCGGAGCATGCCACAATGATTCGGGAGCAGATCCAGCTTTCCAGAAGGGAGAAGAAAGACCAGAATGTCGCATATCTCAAACTGGCGCATTTGATCATTTTATGCCGCAAAGGATTTGCACTGGCTGGTAACAAATTAAATTGATCCCGATTGGGGCAACTCAACAGTTGAGTGGATCGAAGGTTTTGGCCGACTTCCGATGAAATGCGCCATCAAAATTTTGGCTCTTGAAAAGGAGGGAGAAGCTTATCGCCTTGTGCAAGGTTGAAATTGAAGTTGCAGAAGTCCAGAAGCCTCTTCCTGTGGAATGAAGAACAGAATGAACCGATCAGATTCACCGTTGGAGGAGATGGCATTCCTACTTTTTGGACCAGCGTGGACACAGTCAGGGAAGGCCCTGCAGGTCCTGCCTCTTCGAGACGGTAACCGACAAAACCAATCTTGAGCAACTTTCAGAAGGCTTGGGAAACATCAACGCCAGCAACTACCAGGAAAGTAGAAAGAGTGCCGTTATAATTTCACTTTTTACTCAAGGCAGCTTGAGTTATACAGTATAGCAGTGTTGCATGCACAAGGTAGATCAATGTGCTTCACATAGTTAAAAATATAACATTTGAAGGCAAGCCAGGGAAATAAAACCAATTCTGGAGTGTAACGTGCTACCCAATATCAGAAAGCTTGGACTCAGTCACATGCCCTTGGTCGTCCATGAAGACAAAAAAAAAAACCAAAACAAAAAAAAAAACAAGAACAACTAAAAACACTAAAGAATGACTGTGAACATTGGAGATCTCTGAAGTGGCCCTCTATGAGCCCTGATCTAAATCCTATTGAACATCTTTGGAAGGAAATGAGACACGCCACTTACAAAACCTGAGATGTCCGCATACTCTGCTTGACCAAAATACCTCTCTCGAAAGGCTGTGGAATATCGACCATTTTCATCACATTAAATAAAAGCTGTTCAGCTACAATTGAAAAAGCAATGTACCGTTTTTATTGGTGAATTTATTAAAATGATTTCAATTTCACATGAAGTTATTTTAAGAAGCCGTATAGGTTCGCAAAGACTACTAGGCTCTTTAGATGATTCACAGTGTCCCCAGACGGAAGATTGGTCAGGGACAGGAAGTTTGTTGACATTATAAAACTAATTTTGTCTAATTGCAGCTCAGTGGCAAATACAAATACTCTTTGTATAAACATCAACAGCCACAGAGTGACTCTGTTATGCTCCATTTAAAAAATTCTGACAGAAGTCATAAAACAGAATCTTAAATGATGACACAACACCTGAGACAAAGTATTGCATCATTTGATTACGATCGCATGAAAAACAACGGTCAACATGGCTCCTCTGTTTGTTTGGTACGGTGTTTACTTGTCCCACACGTCCTTTAATGACAAGTTATTTTTCTCCAAAAAGACACAGACCAAAACAAGAGCAGATGAGACAAACATGTTTTCCCCAGTATTGATTAGACGTATGATTAGCTGACGTAATTCCCATTTGTTATGATGCCATGACGCACGAGGCAGCAACAGACACGGCGTAAACACGATGATTAAACCTCCGAGTCATGCGTCCACTATCCCCAGGACATCAATCTACTGTCAGTATATGGCGCTGGGACTGACTCCACACTCCCTTGTGGTCGGGAGACTTCGCCACACAAACATGTGTCCACAGTCCCTCCACACATCAGAGTAACAATAGAGAAGTCCAGAAAAAACAAAACAAAAAAACAACAAAAAAACAGGACAATAGCTCTCCCCTCGAAAAGTATTGTTTTAACTATAGAATAAAACCATTTGGTTTTGACATTAAAAGATGAACATGGGACATGAGATATAAACATTTCAGTTTTTATTTCCAGGTCTTTACATCTGGATCGGACACGCAATTTAGAATATAGCATTGTTTGTAACAGACAAAACCAGTTTGAGGTAAACAAAAGGATTCCAAAGGATGGATATAAAACAGACTAAATTGTCGCGCTTGGACACACACCCCAAATCTGCGTTCACTATTCATGTTCACGAAAACTAGCTAGCAGCGAATGAACTGGAATCAGATACGTCTTGTACCTTTTCTGAGATGTTTTTCACAATCCAACAAGGGAAAAGTCAATTTTAATGAAATGGTAAATGGAGTGCACTTGCCGTCATATCCCGACCAACGATAGAATCCAGAGTGCTTTAATCCAGTATATGCATCTGCATTATGTCGTAGCGGCTTTTTCGCACTAAGCTAACCTGTCATTTCACAGCCGCTGACAGCGAGTGATGAATGTGACGGATCAATTGTGCCGATTCGTGCTGACAGGGTAGCAGGGGGTGGTACACCTATCCCATCCATGCTCAGTGACTGCCCAACAGCCTTTCTATGTGCCCCTACTGCATTACAATGGCGGCCGAATATCGAAATGACATCATATTAATTGGTGAAAATAAGGGTCAGTACGAGTGGACATTTTTCTTCATCAGTGAGGAGCATTTCCACATGCTGATGGGTTTTGGGGTTGAAGCGCAGATCAGAAACAATACAGTCATCATAATAATGAGCTCTAGATTTTTGGTGTATTTGATGCAGCGCAAAGGTCGTGGGTTCGATCCCCGCTCCGGCCTTCCTGTGTGGAGTTTGCATGTTCTCCCCGTGCCTGCGTGGGTTTTCTCCGGGTACTCCGGTTTCCTCCCACATTCCAAAAACATGCATGGCATGCTGATTGAACACTCTAGAATTGTCCCTATGTGAGTGTGACTGCGAATGGTTGTTCGTCTCTGCGTGCCCTGCGATGTGCTGGCAACCAGTTCAGGGTGTCCCCCGCCTAATGCCTGAAGACGGCTGGGATAGGCTCCAGCACCCACCGTGACCCTTGTAAGGATAAAGCGGATCAGAAAATGGATGGATGGATAGATTTATTAAAAAGTGAATGCAAAAACACAAGCTCCTTCAATGTCACTTCTTGATGAGGCAATGACTTCTGGATCCATAACTTAAGTTATACCAGTTATATCAAAGTGTGACATAATTCAATATGGATCTCATTAAAACTTCACAATCTGGAATTTAGGGCCACCCACAGATTTCACTGAATCATGTCTTTGGTGGTTGCACACATATTGCCATGTTAAGCATGATGGTGCGTGTGTTCAAAGCTGAGACAGGAAAATCACCGTCACTTGAAAGCAGGATTTGAATTTAGCACAAATGGGAGAAAATCCCCTGTAGTGTACAAAATCACATTGGCAGACTTCAACTGGAACGGAACACTGTATTAATTTTCCGGTCCTCATGTGCACCGGCGCACCTCTTCTGTCCACCCCTGGTCATGCTGCTAGAAATGCATATTGATCAAGCTCCCACACTTTTCTTTTCAGAACGTTAACTCCAAACAGCCCATGTACATGCAAACAGCAACATATGTGAGCTTGCTGACAGGTTGGACAATGACAGGGTTGACATGTCTGGCTAACATTAGCATTTAATGAGCACACAGTGGACCTTTAGTGGGCAACCTGATTAGGTTAATAAGCTACCTGTCCTGGTTAACAAATTCAGAGCACTTTTTGTAATTTTTGAAAAGTTTTATGATACTTATTGATACTTCAAAATGACAGTGTGGATTTGTTAAATTTGACACCATCCAACAAGACAAGATGAAAATTATGCAGCGTAAGTGTTAATATTTACAGTGCATTTATCAAGCATTCCAAGCTCCACTGAAAAAAGACATCAGAATGTTTTGTAAGGGCAAACATCAATTTATAGGACACTTGCAAATTGTTTTTTATGATAGCCAAAATACAATCTACATGATAAAAAAAAAAAAACCCTGTTTTATCGAACAGCTTATTTCTGGACAATGAATTCATGGGAATGTGTTTAGTCAAAGCAATGGGGCCAGCTCTACTGAGATGGGAAACAAGTGAAACTGACGGTCAGGATCGTGATTTTTGTTTAAAAAAGTAACAAATAAAGTGTTTTAAAAAGTAGCACACTTTTGGATACTAGACCATGAAATAACATTTTCTTTCATAAACAAGGGTAGCTGGAATTCCCTGGCGATGGAGTACAGCACACCGCTGTTTTCTGATTGGAGCGTCGCGGTGCTCGGCAAAAGGATAAAAAGAAGCGTCCAGGTTGACCATCGTCATCCTCAGCATCCAAAACCACGTAAGGAAGGGAGGAGCAGAGTGGAGGAGAAGACAGAGGAAACAGGCCAGGGGAGTCGATGCGACCGATGGATCAAGGATGACGAATGCAACTGCGCTTACCTTTTTTCACTTGGCAGGGTTGAGTCACATGACACAGAGGCTCCGATTGTTTCTGTTCGCTGTTACCTTGTTGTGTTACGCTGCCATTTTGCTGGTCAACGGTGTTCTTATTGTTACCATCATACTGGAGAAAAAACTGCACGAACCGATGTATATCTTTTTATGCAATTTATGCGTTAATGGCCTGTACGGGACGATTGTCTTTTTCCCCAAATTCCTTCATGATCTGTTGTCCACGAGCCACATGATATCTTATTTTGGCTGTATGATGCAGATCTTTGTCATCTATTCTTACGCGGCATCTGAAATTGCCGTTTTAACAGTGATGGCTTACGACCGCTACGTGGCCATATCCCGACCGCTGGAGTATCAGTCCATTATGACCAAATGCAGGGTGGTGTTGTTGGTGTCCTTTTCCAGACTCATGCCAGTGTTCTGCCAGACCGTAGTGATGATCATGAGCTCCCAACTGGAAATGTGCGGTTCCCACATCAACAAACTGTACTGCGAGAACTGGTCCCTCCTTCAACTCTCCTGCAATCCCACAACTTCCAACAGCATTGTCGGATTTATGAACGTTGTATTTTACTTTGGGCACGATCTTTTTATCATGTGCTCTTATGTGCATTTGGTTAAATTGGCTTTCAGGTCAAAGGAAGGGAAAAAGAAGTTCAGGCAGACATGCGTCCCTCATCTGCTGTGCTTGTTCAACATCACGGTGGCTTTGCTCTTTGACCTCATGTACGCTCGCTACGGCACCGGCTCCATGCCTCAGAGCCTCCGAAATTTCATGGCCATCCAGATTCTCACCTTTCCGCCTTTGCTCAATCCTATTATTTATGGCTTGAAACTCTCCAAGGTTCGCAACGCTGTTTTACAACATGTGAGAAGGAAGAAGGGCTGAATCGTAAATTAGGATGTATTTTGTGCAATTGAACAAGATAGTCTGCTCTCTTATTTAAATGAGGTTTTTGGAAATTTGTCATAAGGGGAAAAAAATAACAAGGCTTGTACAATTAAGTCCCATTCTGTAGTTTCTTTTTCAGCTGGCTGTGACAAAGACAAGTAACTATATTTTGAGTCCAATGCTTATTTTTCTGGTTCAAAACACGCCTGTTACATGTTATTTGTCAAAAAAGGAGACTGGATGTGTGACATATGAACGCTTATGAAATTGCGAAACATTGCTAGATAACAATTTGGCACTCCTCATTTTCATGTACAACGTACAAATGCATTAATATGATCAAAATGATGAATATGTATTGCTGTTCCCTTCTAAATAAAAAATAAAGCTAAAACGAGTCAGTACTCATTTGTATTCCATCTTCATGTTGGTTAGTTAATGGGTGTGTGTGTGTGCTAGTGTAGGGCATAATTTGCATTAACTAAGCTTCATTTACATTTGAGCAAACTAAATGTCAGTTCCTCTATGAAGCTTTCTACATTATATTTATCTTGTAATTTGACTGTAACCATTTGAAAAAAAAACACGTTCTACAATATCATAAATTGATTTGCATTAATTACCAAATACATACTGTACATTGCATTTTCTAAACATTACCTTCTAAGATGACACTCAAGTATTTGTATTGACTTTAACTCAAGCCGATTAACTAAAAAGCAGGCAATGTAATCAGTTGGTAAGCAGAGTGCGGGTGTGAGAGAACGGCACACTGCAGGGCTTGCTCCACATCTTACATTGTTTTTTTTTGTTGTTTTTTTTTGTGGAAATTAATAAATTCCAGTGTCAAAACTGAAATATGTATTCGATGAGCATCTCTCTCTCTCTTATATTTCTTGGCATTATATTTGAGACATATTTTATCATAATTGGGTAGCGGTGGCTTCATATGACCATTTGATATCTTATGTTCACAATTCCTGTCATTTATTCATTTATAGTGAAATTATACAGTGTGAAGTGAAACTTTTTTTTTTTTAAAAATTAGAGCACCAAAATGAGCTAAATTATCTGTCCATTTTCTGTATCATGCTTGTCTCCATTTGGGTCCCAGGTGGGCCGAGGTCAATCCCAGCAGACTCTGGGCAAGTGTCGGGCTCCACCCTGGGCTGGTTGCTTGTCGATTGCAGGTCAGATGAATATATTAACGTTTATGAAAGATAGTACCAGCGGTACCCCTGGTAATGATGGGGAAACGGAGTAATATTGCAAAGTTTGATACAAAATCTGGTGCTCATTTTTGTGTCTCGTCTTGTATTTGCCCAAATTATCCCCTTGGTTAATTTTAATGCACAGCGCCATGTTAGGAATGGATGTGACATCAAGTCATTGACTGGGTCATCCATTTCACCCACCAGTTGCTATTACGTGACATGCCAGATGGTTTGCCTCAAGATCAAAATCTGTCTTTTCATATTTTGTGGTGACTCTAAATAAACCATCGTAGAAAAGGTCTTCCCAAATTAAAAAAAAATAAAGCCAATCTAATCTTTCCATCTATTTATTTAACTGCAAAGGATGGAACCTGACCCACGTCACAGACAGTCTTCCACCTTCGCATGTGGACGGCTGATTACCGTTTTTCTGCACTATAAGGTGCTTTGGAGTATTCGGCCCACCTTCAACAAATGGCTTATTTCAAAACTGATTTCATACATAGGGTGCACTGCATTATAAGGCGCATAGAATAGAAGCTACAATAGTAGCTGTGGTTGCGTTGTGCATCCCCTAGATGGAGCTACGCTAAAGGGAATACAATAGAATACAGCTTTATTTATATCAAGCTTGCACAACCGCTGCAGCTGGAACAAAGCGCTTTCCAGAACATTTAAAACACTATGTCCAAGAAATCAGAATATCCATCTATATATAAGGCGCATCGGATTACAAGGTGCACTGTCCTGCATAATTTCACTATAAATGAATTAATGACAGGAATTGTGAACGTAACAAGAGGGTTAACACTCTTGCGGCAAAGTGTACATTTACTGGCAGGTGGCATGATGGTGGGTTTGCTTTTACAGCTGCTGGATAATTAGTTTGACGTCATACCACCAGGTAAAGCAATTTAGAATAGTCTCACTTAGAATGATGACCTGGCTGCAGACAGACCAGACCAAGATGGCCTTCAGTGCCGCTACATTACGGCTCACCTTCTTGCAGTCAAGTATAGCTGCGCACATTGGCTGCCGTGGCGTCTCGACAAATACCGGTTTGTTCCGCGAGCTATGATAAGATTGCTTTAAATCAACCAGTGTCACCAAAAACGAGTTAGGCGGCAGTTTTTCTTGAAAAATCATGTAGATTTTTCCTTCCACCACAGCTAAACTTTAAATTCGTATGTTTTATCTTTTTATATTTTTTTTTGTGTTTTTTTCCGGATTAGACAGAAAATGTATTAATTCCAGAAGTTGCTGTTTATTAAGATGGCACAACACAACTTATTCACCGCTTATCATTTTGGAGATGACAACAAATCTCTCAAACAAAAGCCATTTTGCTTTTTAGAATCTGTTGCTCTCACAATTAATGCTCCCTGGCTCACATCATTTCATGTAGCTTAAGTTTTTTTTTATCCACCCAAGAGCTCAATCAACCAAGATCTCAAGTCGGGGAGTCATCAAAAAGTAGCAAGCTTACTTTGACAAAGCATTGGGACAGAAAATACAGATATCTGTTTTTAAATGTAGGGAGTAAAAGTAAAGCGCAGTGGAACAAAAAAAAATCCTAAAGTAAAGAACAGATACCTGGGAAAAAAAGTACTTTTTACTTTGTTACTTCCCACCACTGCATTGGGATCAGATCAAATCCCAAGAGTGCTACCAGACAGCATTAAAAGGCGTATGAACTCAAGACGTGTATTTCTTTAGACGTGAGCAGTCGCATGTGGAGAACAACATGAAGATACGTGTTGGTAAGTATGCATTTCGAGAGGACACACATTGAAAACAAACAACAACAGAGCCAACATACTTCAAAAAAGTGACATTCAGGAGCAAAATAGACTGAGTGGAATAGATGAAGAATGGGTGGTTTTATCGGGTTCCGTCTTGAATAGTAAATATGTTGAGCGTATTTTTTTAGACCAGTTTTAATGCTGATGTTACAGTGACATGTTATCTTTCAAGACTTTATAAATGAAGATGAGCCTGTGCAAAAAGGTGCCCATGCTGTCAGCGGTGGATTTAGACCAGTCTCTGAGTGGGCAAAAGGCATTTTGTCATTGGGGCCAATTCAGGCTTTTTTTTTTTTTTTTAAGCTTCAGTTGACCTTACCACGACACTAAACCAAGCAGATCTACAGTAAGAATCTATTTTAACCCTTTCAGGAACAGCGGTTACTAAAGTGGACAGCTTATCATGTTATCACTGTTACACGGTGCATGAAAGGGTAAATGAATGTTATTTGTAGACTGGGTTGCTGAAATGCTGATCTGTTCAATTGTTACGTCCGTTGTTCAGGAAAAAAAAAATGGATTTTTACATCCTATTTCTGAGTAGATCAGATTCTAAGGACTCGAGCTTTGGAGTCAAGAGTGCACAAGTTGAAGTCCTGCTGCGGGCAAAAATGTAAAAAAATGGTCGCCTTGTCTGCTTGCTGTCTTCATTCCAGGGTGGGCTGAATTTCCAGTCAAGGGACGATAATTAGTATGAGTGTTAAGATGAATAGCAATGAGACAAAGCCAGATGATGGTGTTGAGAGAGCTGAAAAAGAAGCACGTTGAGAGCACCGCAAAGAGAGAGCCACATGCCTTGGAAGAATTAAATTTTTTTTTTTTTTTAAAGAGAGCGTATAAACAGAGAACATGATGAAGATGGTGAAAATGAGACACAAGCAGTGTGCCAGACAGCGAAAAAGAATATACAGATACTGTATTAGGCCCTGTGGGAGACAACCCCTCCCTGTGCAGAAAAAACACATACTGAGTAAAACACACTGAAGTGGATATTGTGTTTTCTTAAAATATACTGGATTATAAACAACGGACGTTGTAGATTCCAGCGACGGCATGAGGTTTGATTTTTTACAAATCAAAACTAAAATGAAAGAACCTTGTCGCAATAGTTAGATTAATTCCCAAAGTGAGATTTGAGTTGTAAAGTCAAAGATGAAGAGTTCAAGTGACATTTTTTGTGAATTGAGAAAAATGTGTTTTCTTTTCTAGTTCTAGGTTGAAGCCAACCCTTTCATAGAGAGCTTTAAGTTAATATTCATTAAAAAAAAAAAAAACAACGTTTATGGGGTGTGTGGGGGGGGGGGCACTTCAAAGAGTCGTTTCATTTTATCGCAAAAGCAGACAACTGCAAGAAAATGATTTAGTGCAGCTGAAAAACAGACAAGCCCAACATTTTCCCAGAACCATAAAATGACACCGATATTAGGTTTACAAATGAATACAAATGAACAATGGGTCAATATGCTGCAATTACAATCTGTTTTTTCCCTTTCTCTTTTCACAGGCGTGGTGTCAAGTAACAGGTTGTTATGAATCCCGAGTGTGTTGGGTGTGTAAGGATGCCAAACCAAACGCTGTTTCCTTACTTTAACCTCACCATGTTCATGAACATCGGGCCATACCGCTACCCGGCGTTGGCCTCATTTTTCCTCCTCTACCTCTTCATCGTGTGCGCCAACTTGGCCATCGTGCTGACGATCTGCCGCGAAAAGAACCTTCACGAGCCCATGTACATATTCATCGCCTGCTTGTCCTTCAACGCCCTGTACGGCTCCACGGGCTTCTTCCCCCGCTTCCTGCTGGACCTGGCGTCCGACACGCACCTGATTTCGCGGGCCGCCTGCTTCACGCAGATCTACTTCATCTACACGTACGGATGCAACGAGATGACCACGCTGTGCGTCATGGCCTACGATCGCTTCCTGGCCGTGTGCCACCCGTTGCACTACCACAGCAGGATGACGGTGAAAAAGGCCCTGACCCTGGTCGGTCTGGCCTGGCTCTTACCTCTCATCTTTCTCACCACGCTTATCTACCTGTCGGCAACGCTGCCCCTGTGCGGCAACGAGATCCAGAAGGTGTTCTGCGCCAACTGGAATGTCGTCAAGCTGTCGTGCGTGCCCACGGTGGTCAACAACGTGGTGGGCATGTTCATGAGCATCTTTACCGTTTTCATCCCGTTGGCCTTCGTCCTCTACACGTACACGCGCATCATGAACGCCGCGTGGAGACGATCGGCCAAATTCAAGGGCAGAGTATTCCAGAGCTGTTTGCCACACATGGTCTCCTTTATCATTTATTCCATCACTGCGTTTTGTGATATTGCGCTCAGCAGACAAAGTGCGGAGGAGATGAACCCCTTCGTTGCCATCATGTTATCTCTCGAGTTTGTGGTTATTCCGCCGCTTCTCAATCCCCTGGTGTACGGTATGAAGCTATCATATATACGCAGGCACATCTTCAAGATGCTGTGAGATCGTGCCGAAGAATAACTGTGTTGTCGTCATCAAAACATTGAAAATACTGCTTTTCTTCTTTAAGGCAACAAGTTTCATTGAATTTGATTCATATTGTATTTTTAAAAAATTAATTTATTGACAATTTTGAAAGCCATTATAAAGCGCTTGATGTTTGTTATCAATTCAAATCAATGACATTTTTTGTCACACGCATTTGCAGTATGCAGAATGTTTTTGTGACAATCACAAAGTAAAACGTAAAACACAATCAATGTGTTGTGTCATTCATTTAATAAAGAGTGCAATATCATTCAAAGTGTGGTGTTCATGGATTTCAATGACATTCAAGTCAAGTCTCAGGAAAGCCCCATGATTCATGATTTCTAGAGAGGTTCCATGGCCAATGAATGGTGGCTCTTTGGTAAGGACGACTTCATTCACAACTTTCACACAGCCCAAAGCCTGGACAGATGAACCAGTGACAATTAAAAGACCGTTAAGGAAAAAAGAAAAAAAAAAGATTTGGCCACAAATGTGAGAATTGGGCCTTAGCGCTTGTACTGAGAAGTTACAGTAATCCCTCGTTTATCGCAGTTAATGGGGACCAAAACCACCCGTGATAAACGAAAATCCGTGAAGTAGCGACCCCCCCCATGCAGGTACATGTACATAATATTTATAAGGCCGAATTTAATGGTATACATGCATGTAGAAGTAAATTTTGAAGTAATTAACACGACTTAATGCTGTATACTAATAGATTTAAACATTGGATTGGATACAACTTTATTGTCAAATGTGCTGTATGTGTACAGCACAGATGAAATTTCTTCCCTCTCAACATAAAACAAGAAACAAGAGGATGTATATGTTAGGTTAGTTTATGAATAACAAAATACAGTAAACATATACATGTAGTACTGTATATGTTGCTCTATGTGACTCGCTGTTGTTTTGCTGACTTTCGCTGCTTCTCGCGGACCTTTTGAGGACTTTTTGCGGACTTAAAAAAAAAAAAAACCAACAACAAAAAATTATGAATATGTTTGAAAATATCCGCGATGCACTGAAGCCGCGATAAACGAACCGCAAAATAGCGAGGGATCACTGTAGTTAGAACGTTGGCAAGTTCACAAGACCATAAGCTACCTTGTTCGTGTTGAGAAAAGGCCAATGTCTTCCCATCGCGTTGCTATCATTCTGAGTTAAGTAACAACATATGCTAAATTGGCTTGTGATATTAACTGAAAAAAATACTTGTGCGTGTTACCTCCACATAAGATGAATGTTCTGATTGCCAGAAACTGGCTGTTTAAAGGCTAGCATACAGTCCGACGCATTCACCAACAAATCATTCTTAGAGGGACCATATCAAACAATTCTCTTAAATAAGGACATGGGAGAGAAAATGTTCTCCAAATCTGTTGTTCCCCCATGTCACTTCTATCCCTGTTCCACCACTGCTCCCCGCCCACCTTTTAAGACTTAAGATCTCACTCCATCAAGATCTCAATCATAGTTTTTTTAATATTGTGTAGTCAAAAATTAAAACCTATTTGTGACAAAGCAAGGAGTAAAAATAACAGCTATTTGCCTTCAAATGTAAGCAGTAAATGTAAAAAAGTAATCAGAAAAAATCCCAAGCACAGATACCTAAAAAAAAAAAAAAACTACCTAAGTACAGTCACAAAATATTTGTACTTTGTTACTTCCTGCCACTGCGCTGGCGTCAGATCGAGTCCCAAGAGTGCAAAGACGCGTAATTAAAAGATGCGTGCACTCGTGACGAGTGTGTCTTCAAACCTGATCACGAAGAACAGCATGAAGACGCATACTGGTAAGTATGCAGTATGGATGTAGCTTTTGAGTCTGTCATGTATTCTTGAATTTCAAACCTTTATTTACGTCTTCAAAAAAAAAAAAATTTGCAGGCAAAGCCTTCATTTTCAGCGATGTTGAGACGCGGCAGAGAAATGGAAACAACCGAGCATACAGAGTTAAAAAGATTTACCGGTTGAAGGGAAATATTATATCATCTTGAAAGAGTACATGGAAGCAATTGTAACTGTTGCAGTCAATATTAAGTATGCAGCAAAGCAGTTTTACCAAAGGGAGTCACTGATGGTGTCGTGGTCCACTTGACCGACTTTGGCACAAGCAGCCTGGCTTCAGTGTGAATGTTTGTGTTCATGTGTCCTGAGATTGACTCGTGGCAAGTCCAGAGTGACACGCGACTCCAAACAGGAGAACTGGTAGCAATAGTAAATGGATGGTTGGTTTCACCGGGTTAAGTCTTGTCTGGGGAACTTTGAGCAGCAAACACTTGAGTGCTTATGATGAGACCAGTGAGGTGCGCAGGAACGGTGTGGCATGTTGTCTTTCAAGGCTTTTGTAGCTGAAGAGGAGTCAGTTCATAAGCGTGCTCAACATCGAGACCGAATTTACAGAGGGGTGCCCGAGCTGGAGACAGTGGATTTATCTGAGGGGCACGTTAAACAAAACAAAGGAAGCCTGTAAGAGGAGCCTATTCCAATTCATGTTATTTACAGAGTGGGGTGGTGAACAATTGCATTTTCCAGTGCTTTGCCCAAAGTTAAAAATGCCGAGACCATAGTTCTTGTTCTGCACTAGTACCTCAGTCCGTAAGGACTGGGGCTTTGCGGCAGGAGGGCAAACGTTTGAGTCCTGGCGTGGATAAAAGTGGAAAAATGGCAACAAGTGGCTGGATGTCTGCTCATCCGCTTGTTGGCACCGGTCGAGATGCAGCACTGTTTGCAGACCTCTTTCACTCGGAATCTCTCCTTTGCATGCCTGCACGTGTGCGAATTTGCTTCTGTATGTTGTGTACAACAGAAAGAGTCAGATAACGGTGTTGATGAAAAAGCAAAAATTGAGGGAGAGGGAGAGCCAGAAGTCTTTGGAGACTGTTTGATAGCGAGGGGACACGGAGCAGGAATAAGGGACGGTGATGAAGAAAGAGTGATGCACGGCAGACTGTGTGACACAGACATACAGGTACTGTAGTTTGTATGTGCATCCTCAAGCACGTCACCACCAGGTTTGTGCTGAAAAACAATACTTGCCAGTGTGTGCGTGTGTGTGTGTGTGTGTGTGTGTGTGTGTGTGCGTGTCCAGCAATCATTCATGATCTGAGTTGTTTATCCTCACCTCGGATAAGCAGTAGATAATGTATGGGTGGATATTTATCTGACAGGGAGCATTTGCTTCTTGAAACTGTCTGAAAATGAACTTACGGTAATTCTTTATTTTCATCCCTCAAATCTGATCATTTCCATATTGAACGAGTCCAAATGTGTACTGACCAATCTCAGGCAACTGTTTTTATCGCTTTCTCATATTGAAACATGAAACTGAATTCAATGAAATTAATTAAAGCCACGTGCCATTTATGTTCGGAGGATGTTGACAGTAAGCACATTGCAGCGAGCCACCAAAAATATTTTCAGAACAAACGAAATGTTGAGGTAGCAGAACTATGTGAAGATTTCGGTGTTAAAGGCCACATACGACATTAATAGGGGTGTCTCGATACATGCGGTGTGTGATACGATTGATACGGGTGTCTCGATACATGCGGTGTGTGATACGATTGAAGGATGGTTTGTTTTAAATCAAAACCTTTTCCACGATTTCAAATCGATTTCCCTTACACCCGTAAAAATCGCCCTGCTTAAAAAAAAAAAAAAAAAAATGCAACCCTAACCACCAATGAATGTTTCTACTTCCTCTTTTCACAGACAATGTCAAGTAACGGGTTGGATCACAAGTGTGTGGGTATGTGAAAATGCCAAACCTAACGCTGTCTCCTTACTTTAACCTCACCATGTTCATGAACATCGGCCCATACCGCTACCTGGCTTTGGCCTCATGCCTCCTCCTCTACCTCTTCATCGTGTGCGCCAACTGGACCATCTTGCTGACGATCTTCCGCGAGAAGACCCTTCACGAGCCCATGTACATATTCATCGCCTGCTTGTCCTTCAATGCCCTGTGCGGCTCCATGGGCTTCTTCCCCCGTTTCCTGCAGGACCTGGCGTCCAACACGCACTTGATCTCGCGCGCCGCCTGCTTCGCGCAGATCTACCTCATCTACACATACGGCGGCAATGAGATGACCACACTGTGCGTCATGGCCTACGACCGCTTCCTGGCCGTGTGCCACCCGTTGCACTACCACAGCAGGATGACGGTGAAAAAGGCCCTGACCCTGGTCGGCCTGGCCTGGCTCTTACCTATCTCCGTCATCACCATAGCCATCTACCGGGCCACCACGCTGCCCCTGTGCGGCAACAAGATCCAGAAGGTGTTCTGCACCAATTGGAATATAGTCAAGCTGTCATGTGTGCCCACCGATCTCAACAATGGTTTGAGCATGTTTGTGACCATCTGCACCATTTTCCTCCCGTTGGTCTTCGTCCTCTACACGTACACGCGCATCATGAATGCTGCCTGGAGAGGCTCGGCAAAATTCAAGGGGAGAGTTTTCCAGACCTGTATGCCGCACATGATCTCCTTTGTCATTTATTCCATCGCTCTATTTTGTGATCTCGCCCTGAGCAGGTACAATGCGGAGGAGATGAACCCCTTTCTGGCCATAATTTTATCTCTGGAGTTTGTGATTATTCCACCAATCCTCAACCCTCTGGTATACGGTATGAAGCTGCCGGATATACGCAGACACATCTTAAAGATCCTGTGAGATCGTGATAGCCAGTGGTGTGGTTAGGGCAAATTTAGGGGCGTGGCAGCAGCCCTAAAATAACCTTAAGCCCTATAAATAAGAACTCAATGAAGAGTTGAACGCACTAGCTATTTGCCAGTGTCAGTAGCTTTTCAGTTGTGAAGCTACGATAGTGATCACATGCTTGTCTCCACAAGAACCCGAAATGCATCTCGTCCATTTAAAAGTTCAAAGGGAAGGAGGGAAGTTATTCTTTGTATATTCGACAAAATGGACATCTTGTTTTGTAATTATCCACTTTGTATCCTTTCATCCACTACATTTTTAAGGTAGCAGGTTTAATTGACTTGAATTTGATTACGTTTTACGACATTGTATTGAAGAAAATGTGACTTTTATTGTCTATTTTCAGAGCCAGATTTAAGTCCTTGTGGGGTTTTTAAATCTATCAAGACTGTTTTTTTGGTTACATGCGTGTACGTTGAACTGGGGGAGACATTGTGGGGCCCACAAGCATGCCATGAAGTCCCTGGGAGACTATCTGCTGCAGCACATGAAGATTAATGTGACAATCACAAACTAAGACGTGAAATGCCACGAAGTAAAGGGACTGTTCGGTAAGAACATGGTGTTATGCTTCTCCCTTCATTTCTTGTTGGAGGAATCATCTTATGACTGATTTCAACACATTTTACTTCATCCTAGCAATGTGAATCTTTGGTGTTTGTAAATTACCCCCCCCCCCCAAAAAACGGAAAAAAAACATTAAATAAAGTGCTGTCGTATGTTTAAGTTCTTTGCTCAAGGTGCAACTTTACAGAGATGAAAGTGGACTTTTCTGAAAATTCCGGAAAAAATATATACATATATATACACACACACACACACACACACACACACACACACACACACACACACACACACACACACACATTCCGCACGCATGCACACGCACTTGGCCGATCACGCATGAATTACTTTACACAAAACGCTATTCAAATACTCGACATTCAATGATTAATCTTCCTTTTGTGTGCACACGTGTACCCTTTGTAGCTTCCGTTCGGGCCGAAATTTTTTCAACCAATCAGCGCCGACGCAAATGACGTCACACACGACAACAGCTAAGCTAAGTTAGCCGAGACGACACTCGAAGTCGGACGGACACGATTTTCTGCCAATCTGTGTTTTTCCCTTTTTGGCCAAATATATTTTTTACTACAACTGTCTTGTCGACGGCGTCTTTTATTCGTTCCACTGGGGTTTAGCAGGTGTGTTTATAAAGAGACGAAAATTGTTTGGGGACTATCCCCCACGTTCTAATTGAGATGGTATAACCCAAGAGGCAAAATGACGCTTGCGACTGTTGTTGCGAGTTGCCATTCGTTCTACTAAGCCATTAGTCAAACGCCACCATGTCTTCTGTCGTTATTACACAAACAAAAATCTCTTTACTGTTACTAGTGTTAGTGCCTCAATATGGCTACGCTCGTGAAAGCAATCCAGCGAACTCAAACGCGTCTTCGTTCAATGTTGTCAACTAATATCCGGATTAATTTTATGCAAATTTTCCTCAATTCTCCGGAGAAATTTTAATAAAAATTTGAAAAAAAACGGAATTCCGGGAAAATCCGGAGGACTTTCATCTCTGACTTTAGAAACTGATGTTAACTGCAATTGGGTGTAAGGTATTTCAATGGAGATGGAATAACTCTTGGTAGTATAGTGAATATTGAGGTGCAAGCAATTTAATCCATTTCCTGAATGCAACACACCACTCAGCAGTGCCATTGAAGAGTTTGATTGTTTCCCTCGTGTGGTTACAAATTCTACAGTTATTTTTAAGAGCTTATTTTCCTACTAAAATTCAAATAGAGAGTATATTTGGAGGACTAACACAATGAGACCTAATTTAAAAACAAACACACACACACACACACACACACACACACACACACACACACACACACACTATTCGATGACTCCTTCATTCAACATAAAATGCACAAAACATCAAGTAACGTTTCAACATGTTAACAATAAAATGTAATAACTACTTACACAGCGACCCCCTTGACCAATACAACGGCATCCACGTGTTGAGCATACAGGTATACCGAAGCATCACGAATGACGTCGGGTATACCGGAAATTAATGCCGAGTTGCATTGTAGGAAAAAATCCTGACCGGAAATCATGCACTGCAGACGTGATAATAAAAAGTACGAATAACGAACGTGTTGGTATAATGCAAGCCAAATGCCCCCCAAAATCTTTTTTGAAACGCTAAGTTAATGACATTTAGCCTACAAATACTTTCGAGTGTATTTGGAAATACGTTCGAACGTATTCACCAGTCAAAATAGTTTACTTCACATTGGCAGTTCCGCGCTTCCGTTTGCATGAGCTCATCAGTCGGGCGAGACAGAATGGGGACGGGAAGATTGGGGGTGATCATTTCAATAAACGAGTTCGAGCGTTTCCTGATCTACCAGAATGCATTGCTAGACATGTTGAAAAGCTGGCAATGCGGCCCACCGCTCTGGTCGAACGGATGGGATTGTCGGACGTTACTATTTTTAGCACAAAGGTCGAACGATGGAAAAACGTAGCACCTTGTTGCTTACACTTGAATGTGTTTATTCTGCATTGGAAAGAAATTGTTTAATTGCCAGAAATGCATGGTTCCAAGGCTGGCACGCGACACAACACATTACCTTACTACAAATGATTTTTAGAGCCAACAAAATCAAACAAGGCTCTTTAATAAGGCCATGGGATAGAAAATATTTTGCATCTCTGAATCTGTTGCCATCACCATTAATGCGTTCCTCCAAGTCGCTGCTGTCCGTCCCCCCCCCCCGGCTTTTATGATCTCAATTAATCAAGCTCTCAATCATAGTTGACTTTTTTTTTAACACTCTGTAGTCATAAAAAAGGAATAAGACCAAGTTGACCAAGTGAGGAGTAGAAATGTCAGAAATTTGGTTTCAAATTGCTGGTCCAGCAAAAACTCATCAGAAAAATAAATACTCATGTAATATACAGATACCTGAAAAAAATCTACTTAAGTACAGTAACAAAGTATTTGTACTTCAGTACCCACCACTGCGCTGGAGTGAGATCGAGTCCCAAGAGTGTAAACAGACGACATTAAAAGATGCGTGCACTCATGGTGAGTGTGTCTAAACGTGAGCAGTAGATCACGCAGAACAGCACGAAGACACCTGTTGTAAGTATGCAGTACGGATGAGGCGTTTGAGTGTGTCATGTTTGTTTTCTTGAATTTCAATCCTTTATTTACATTTGAAAAAAATATTGCAGGCAAGCCTTCATTTCAGTGATGTTGGGAGGGACAAAGAAATGGAAACAACCGAGCAGAGTGAAAAACATTAAAAAGTGTTTTTTTTTTTTTTTTTTTTAATCATCTTGAAATAGTACATGGTAGCAATTGTAACTGTTGTAGTCAGTATTAGACAATCATGAAGCACAGCAGTTTGATCGAGGGAGTCAGTGATGGTGTCGTAGTACAATACACTTGCCTGACTTTGGTGCAAGCAGCTTGTCTTCATTGTGAATGTTTGTGTTAGTGGTCATCCGGCTCAAGATGTGGCCTGAGATTGATTTAGCGGCAAGTTCAGCATGTGGTCTCCCTTTCGTCAAAAGTCAGCTTGGAAATAGACTCCAGCTCACATGTGACTCTGAACAGGAGAACTGGTAGCTCGAGAAAATGGATGGTTGCTTTCACCAGATTAAGTCCTGTCGAGCAGCAAACACTTGAGTGCTTATGATAAAACCAGTGAGGTGGGGAGGAACGGTGTGGCATGTTGCCTTTCAAGACTTGATAAATGAAGAGGAGACCGTTAATAAAAGTGGCTACCAGTGATATCAGATTTAAAGAGGAAACCTGGCTGGGGAGGTCAGTGGATTTTTTTTGAGGGGTATATTAAACAACACCAAGAAATCCAGCAACAGCCTACCTGCCAACCTATTAAAATGGCTTACTTTGCATGACGTTTTGCCTCTAGTTAAAAAAGGACATCATGTCCTCGTTCCCCACCAATAGCTCAGTCCCTAATTACCCGGGCTTTAGAATTGAGACGGCACAGGTTTGAGTCCTGGTGTGAATAAAAATGTAAAAATGGCAACTAGTTGTTGGATATCTGCTTGTCTGAATGCTGGCAACGGTCGAGGTGCATGTTTGCATATCTCTTTCACTTGGAATCTCCCCATGCATGCCTGCATGTGTGTGATGTGCTTGTACGTGGTCTGCAACATGAAGACAAATGATAATGAGACAAAGTCAGAAGGGACCGTTTTTTTTTTGTTTTTTTTTTTGAGAAGACCCAGAACGGGGGGGAGTTTTTTTTTTGTTTTTTTTTGAGAAGACCCAGAACGGGGGGAAAAAGAGACTTTGATGAAGATGAAGATCTGAGAATAAGATACAGCAGTGTGTGACCCCTCACGTGGTGGGATGCCTCCGGGTGGCGCGAGGGGGGAACGCCGGGGCTCTTGGACCCCAGACGCGGGTAAATGCCCACCAGCCGGCGGGGAAGGAGGTGGGGTCTCACCGGAAGGTGAGGCGTCCAGGGCTCGCCCCGCCGGAACGGAGGGGAGTGGGAGTAGCCGCCCCACAACCCTCCTTCAACAAAAATCAGGCGAGGGCCTTTCCGGGGCCCGCACTGGGTGTGAACTTTGCGAGGCAGCAGCGAGAGTCATACCGGGTGTGGGACCCCTGGGGGGCAAGTCCCTGACGGGGGGCGATTGCCCAGGAGGAGGAGGAGCAGTGTGTGACACAGACAGGGAATATACAGGCACTGTATGCACATCTTTAAGCACTTTATCATAAGGTTTGTGCTGAAAAAAAAAGCCAGCCATTGTGTGTTACTTTTTATTTCGATGACATTGAATGAATTTTTATTCAACAGGGATGATACCGCCATTTGCTTGCTCTAACTCTTTTCACAGATGGCGTCAAATAACAGATTGTTATGAATCACAAGTGCGTGGGTTTGTAAAGATGCTCAACATAACCTACTTTAACCTCACCATGTTCTTGAACATCGGCCCATACCGCTACCCGGCGTTGGCCTCCTGCCTCCTCCTCTACCTCTTCATCGTGTGCGCCAACTGGGCCATCGTGCTGACCATTTTCCGTGAGAAGACCCTTCACGAGCCCATGTACATATTCATCGCCAGTTTGTCCTTCAACGCCCTGTACGGCTCCACGGGCTTCTTCCCCCGTTTCCTGATGGACCTGGCGTCCGACACTCATCTGATCTCGCGCGCCGCCTGCTTTACGCAGATCTACCTCATCTACACGTACGGCGCCAACGAGATGACCACACTTTGCGTCATGGCCTACGATCGCTACCTGGCCGTGTGCCACCCGTTGCACTACCACACCAGGATGACGGTGAAAAAGGCCCTGACCCTGGTCGGTCTGGCCTGGCTCTTACCCGTCTTCATCCTCACCACGGTCATCTACCTGTCCGCAACACTGCCCCTATGCGGCAATGAGATTCAGAAGGTGTTCTGCGCCAACTGGAATGTCGTCAAGCTGTCGTGCATGCCAACGGTGGTGAACAACGCGGTGGGCATGTTCGTGACCATCTCTACCATTTTCATCCCGTTGGCCTTCATCCTCTACACGTACACTCGCATTATGAGCACCTCCTGGAGACGTTCAGCCAAATACAAGGGAAGAGTATTCCAGAGCTGTTTGCCACACATGGTCTCCTTTGTCATTTTTTCCATCGCCATATTTTGTGATATCGCCCTAAGCAGGTACAATGTGGAGCAGATGAACGCCTTCGTAGCCATCATCTTATCTCTTGAGTTTGTGGTCATTCCGCCAGTTCTCAACCCTCTAGTGTATGGTTTGAAGCTATCGGATATACGCAGACACATCTTCAAGATGCTGTGACATCCTGGAAGCCGGTGGTGTGTGGGTGTGTGTGTGTGTGTGTGTGTGTGTGTGTGTGTGTGTGTGTGTGTGTGTGTGTGTCCAGCAATCATTCATGATCTGAGTTGTTTATCCTCACCTCGGATAAGCAGTAGATAATGTATGGGTGGATATTTATCTGACAGGGAGCATTTGCTTCTTGAAACTGTCTGAAAATTAACTTAATTCTTTATTTTCATACTTCAAATTTTATCATTTCCATATCGAACGAGTCCAAATGTGTACTGACCAATCTCAGGCAACAGTTTTTATCGCTTTCTCATATTGAAACATGAAACTGAATTAAATGAAATTAATTAAAGCCACGTGCCATTTATGTTCGGAGGATGTTGACAGTAAGCACATTGCAGCGAGCCACCAAAAATATTTTCAGAACAAACGAAATGTTGAGGTAGCAGAACTATGTGAAGATTTCGGTGTTAAAGGCCACATACAACATTAATAGGGGTGTCTCGATACATGCGGTGTGTGATACGATTGAAGGATGGTTTGTTTTAAATCAAAACCTTTTCCACGATTTCAAATCGATTTCCCTTACACCCGTAAAAATCGCCCTGCTAAAAAAAAAAAAAAAAATGCAACCCTAACCACCAATGAATGTTTCTACTTCCTCTTTTCACAGACAATGTCAAGTAACGGGTTGGATCACAAGTGTGTGGGTATGTGAAAATGCCAAACCTAACGCTGTCTCCTTACTTTAACCTCACCATGTTCATGAACATCGGCCCATACCGCTACCTGGCTTTGGCCTCATGCCTCCTCCTCTACCTCTTCATCGTGTGCGCCAACTGGACCATCTTGCTGACGATCTTCCGCGAGAAGACCCTTCACGAGCCCATGTACATATTCATCGCCTGCTTGTCCTTCAATGCCCTGTGCGGCTCCATGGGCTTCTTCCCCCGTTTCCTGCAGGACCTGGCGTCCAACACGCATCTGATCTCGCGGGCTGCCTGCTTCGCGCAGATCTACCTCATCTACACATATGGCGGCAACGAGATGACCACACTGTGCGTCATGGCCTACGACCGCTTCCTGGCCGTGTGCCACCCGTTGCACTACCACAGCAGGATGACGGTGAAAAAGGCCCTGACCCTGGTCGGCCTGGCCTGGCTCTTACCTATCTCCGTCATCACCATAGCCATCTACCGGGCCACCACGCTGCCCCTGTGCGGCAACAAGATCCAGAAGGTGTTCTGCACCAATTGGAATATAGTCAAGCTGTCATGTGTGCCCACCGATCTCAACAATGGTTTGAGCATGTTTGTGACCATCTGCACCATTTTCCTCCCGTTGGTCTTCGTCCTCTACACGTACACGCGCATCATGAATGCCGCCTGGAGAGGTTCGGCAAAATTTAAGGGGAGAGTATTCCAGACCTGTATGCCGCACATGATCTCCTTTGTCATTTATTCCATCGCTCTATTTTGTGATCTCGCCCTGAGCAGGTACAATGCGGAGGAGATGAACCCCTTTCTGGCCATAATTTTATCTCTGGAGTTTGTGATTATTCCACCAATCCTCAACCCTCTGGTATACGGTATGAAGCTGCCGGATATACGCAGACACATCTTAAAGATCCTGTGAGATCGTGATAGCCAGTGGTGTGGTTAGGGCAAATTTAGGGGCGTGGCAGCAGCCCTAAAATAACCTTAAGCCCTATAAATAAGAACTCAATGAAGCGTTGAACGCACTAGCTACTTGCCAGTATCAGTAGCTTTTCAGTTGTGAAGCTACGATGGTGATCACATGCTTGTCTCCACAAGAACCCGAAATGCATCTCGTCCATTTAAAAGTTCAAAGGGAAGGAGGGAAGTTATTCTTTGTATATTTGACAAAATGGACATCTTGTTTTGTAATTATCCACTTTGTATCCTTTCATCCACTACATTTTTAAGGTAGCAGGTTTATTCATTCATTCATCTTCCGAACCGCTTGATCCTCACTAGGGTCACAGGGGGTGCTAGAACCCATCCCAGCTGTCTTCGGGCAGTAGGCGGGGGACACCCTGAATCGGTCGCCAGCCAATCGCAGGGCACACATAGACGAACAACCATCCACGCTCACATTCACACCTAGGGACAATACAGAGTGTTCAATCAGCCTACCATGCATGTTTTTGGAATGTGGGAGGAAACCGGAGTACCCGGAGAAAACCCACGCAGGCCAGGGGAGAACATGCAAACTCCACACAGGGAGGCCGGAGCTGGAATCAAACCCGGTACCTCTGCACTGCGAAGTCGACGTGCTAACCACTGGACTACCGGGCCGCCCAGTAGCAGGTTTAATTGACATGAATTTGATTAAGTTTTACGACATTGTATTGAAAATGTGACTTTTATTGTCTATTTTCAGAGCCAGATTTAAGTCCTTGTGGGGTTTTTAAATCTATAAAGACTGTTTTTTTGGTAACATGCGTGTACGTTAAACTGGCGGAGACATTGTGGGGCCCACAGGCATGCCATAAAGTCCCTGGGAGACTATCTGCTGCAGCACATGAAGAATGTGTGACAATCACAAAGTAAGAAGTGAAATGCCACGTGTGAAATGGACTGTTCGGTAAGAAGATGGTGCTTCTCCCTTAATTTATTGTTGGAGGAATCATCTTAAAGCTTAAAGGTATGATGGATAGTCCCTCCCACCCCCTCCAGCCCACCCTGACAGCACTGGGTAGCTCCTTCAGCCAAAGACTGTTACACCCGTGCTGCAAGGAGAGACACTGCCGCTCGTTCCTCCCGACTGCTGTCAGGCTGCTGAATAAACATGCGTGAAAACCTGTAACCATTGTAAATAGCACAGCCACCTTATGTATGAATAAGATGCATATATGCAACTTATATTTATACTGTGTACAGTTTTTTTCTGAAACATTTATTTATTTTGTGCATGCAACACTTTGTTTTTGTTTTTCTTCTCGACACCCCCCCAATTTTGCTGCTGTAGACTGCAAATTTCCCCAATGTGGGACAAATAAAGGTTATCTTATCTTATCTTATCTTATCTTCTGACTGATTTCAACACATTTTACTTCATCCTAGCAATGTGAATCTTTGGTGTTTGTAAATTAACACTCCCCCGGAAAAAAAGCAGAAAAAAAGAACATTAAATAAAGCGCTGGAGTACTTCTAAGTTCTTTGTTGAAGGGGCTACTTTCGAAGCTGATTTCAACCACAATTGGGTGTAAGGTATTTTAGTGGAGATGGAATAATGCTTGGTAGTACAGTGAATATTGAGGTACAAGCCATTTAATCCATGTCATGGATGCAACAGACACCACTCAGCAATGTCACCAAAGAGTTTGTTTGTTCGCCGGGTGTGGATACAAATTCGACAGATATTTTTCAGATCTTATTTTCCTACTACAGTTCAACTTGAGAGCATATTTGGAGGACTAACACAATGAGGTCACAAACACAAGCACACACACAACTCGATGACTCCTTCATTCAACATAACATGTACAAGACATCAAGTAACGTTTCAACATGTGAACAATAAAATTTAGGAACTACTTACTGACACAGCAACCCCCTTGACCAACACAACGGCATCCACGTGTTGGGCATATACCGAAGCATAACGAATGCTGTCGGGTATGAGGCAAATTAATACCGAGTGGCATTGTGGGTAAAAAATCCTGACCGGAAATCGTGCACTGCAGACGTAATAATAAAAAGTCCGAATAACGAACGTGTTGGTATAATCCAAGCCATATGCAATAAATAAATAAATGTGTTTTTTTTAACGCTAAATTAATGGGATTTAGCCTACAAGTACTTTCGAATGTACTTGGAAATACGTTGGAACGTATTCACCAGTCAAAAAAATTTTCTTCACATTGGCAGTTCAACGCTTCCGTTTGCACAAACTCATCAGTCGGGCGAGACAGAATGGGGACGGGAAGATTGGGGGTGATGCTTTCAATAAAGGAGTTCGAGCTTTTCTGCATCTACCACAATACATTGCTGGACATGTTGAAAAGGTGGCAATGCAGCCCACCGCTTTGGCGAACGGATGGGATTGTCGGACATGTTACTATTTTTAGCACAAAGGTCGAACGATGGAAAAACGGAGTACCTTGAACCACCTGCTTTCACTTCAATGTGTTTATTCTCCATCAGAAAGAAAATGTTTAATTGCCAGAGATGCATGGTTTTAAGGCTGGCACGCGACACAACACATTAACTCACGAAAAATGATTTTTAGAGCCAACAAAATCAAACAAGGCTCTTTAATAAGGCCGTGGAATAGAAAATATTTTGCATCTCTGCATCTGTTGCCATCACCGTTAATGCATTCCTCCAAGTCGCTGCTGTCCGTCTTTTCCGCCGGCTTTTATGATCTCAATTAATCAAGAGCTCAATCATAGTTGACTTTTTTTTTACGCTCTATAGTCATAAAAAAGGAATAAGACTATGTTGACCAAGTGATGAGTAGAAATTTCAAAAACTTGCTTTCAAATGCAAAAACTCATCAGAAAAAGAAATACTCATGCATGGGCGTCATTAGGCCTATTTTAGGGAGGCTTCAGCCTCCCTAAAAATGTCTTTAGCCCCCTAAATAATTTCGTTGCATTATTTAAAAAAAAGTATTATTTATTTTTCCTGTACTTTTGCCAATATATTGCATCAAATTCAATGTAATGTGGCCATTTTAAATTATATTTCGATTCCCTGCCATTATTGTAATGTTAAATCTCCCAGGTTTCCTGAACGCAACAGGTGTTGCGTGAGCATCTGACGTGTCTGTCACCATCGCCACATCAAATGCTAACGCAACAACTGACAGTTCATTGGCGAAAGTCAGGTTGAGTCGACAGCATGGATATTCGACAGTTTTTTAGAAAGGCAAATTAAGTATTCAATGCATCCATGCTGATAAAACTAGTGACTATAGTCCGCTAAAATATCTCCAGTAACAGCAGAAACTGCACTGTAACAAAGTGTTCACTTTTGGATAAATTAAGGTGTTGCTTCATAAAAATTAAGCAACATTTTATGATTAAATACATAAATAATCATTACACCAACTCTTTGAGGCAACACCTATTGAGATTTTGGCCTTTATAAAATAAATAAATAAATATAAAATAAATAAATGTATTTATTTAAGTGATGAAGCTTTTGCATCTCATTGTACTAACTTAAATTGCTTATCACGGCAGGCATCTCAAAATACATAGTCTTCTGGGGGCTAAGCATATATTAATACATTTTGGTAGAGAGGAATAGAGGCCTACTGTCATATAGGTTATGTTATCGGGCATCCTTCTAATTCCCTTGAACAACCAAGATTGAACTTTTGAACTCTTTCTAAGTTCTATTATCTAGTCCAGTTAAAGTCCAGGGGAGGAAGCCCCATCATAGTAAAGAGGATACTAATGTGATGTGTGTAGTTAGTTCTTCATAGCCTCTTCATTTTGCTCTCAAAGTGCACGGAATTGATGGATTTTTAACAGAATGTAGAAAAAAATTCTCAGATGCCCCCCGGACCCCCCTAAAGGGGCTGTGTTCCCCTTGGGGCTAAGCTCCCCTTGTTCTTGAAACCTAGTGACGCCCCTGTACTCATGTAATATACAGATACCTGAAAAAATATCTACTTAAGTACAGAAACAAAGTACTTGTACTTTACCACCCACCGCTTCGCTGGAGTAACATCAAGTCCCAAGAGTTTAAACAGACGACATTAAAAGATGCGTGCACTCATGGTGAGTGTGTCTAAACGTGAGCAGTAGATCACGCAGAACAGCACGAAGACACCTGTTGTAAGTATGCAGTACGGATGAGGCTTTTGAGTGTGTCATGTTTGTATTGTTGACTTTCAAACCTTTATTTACATCTGAAAAAAATATTGCAGGCAAGCCTTCATTTCAGTGATGTTGAGAGGGACAGAGAAATGGAAACAACCGAGCACAGTTAAAAACATTAAAAAGTTTTTTTTTTTTTTTTTTAATCATCTTGAAATAGTACATGGTAGCAATTGTAACTGTTGTAGTCAGTATTAGACAATCATGCAGCGCAGCAGTTTGATCAAGGGAGTCAGTGATGGTGTTGTAGTACAATACACTTGCCTGACTTTGGTGCAAGCAGCTTGTCTTCTTTGTGAATGTTTGTGTTAATGGTCATCCGGCTCAAGATGTACCCTGAGATTGATTTCGCGGCAAGTTCAGCATGTGGTCTCCCTTTCGTCAAAAGTCAGCTTGGAAATAGACTCCAGCTCACATGTGACTCTGAACAGGAGAACTGGTAGCTAGAGACAATGGATCGTTGGTTTCACCAGATTAAGTCCTGTCGAGCAGCAAACACTTGCGTGATTATAGACCAGTGTGGTCGGGAGGAACGGTGTGGCATATTGCCTTTCAAGACTTTGTGAAGAGGAGACAGTTCATAAAAGTGGTTGCCATTGATATCATATTTAAAGAGAGGACCTGGCTGGGGGGGTTAGGGTTAGGGGTTTCGGTGGATTTTTTTTGAGGGGCACATTAAACAAAATCAATGCCCCAACAGCCTAGCTGCCAACCTGTTAAAATGGCTTACTTTGCATAAAGTTTTGCCTCTAGTTAAAAAAATGACATCATGTCCCAGTTCCCCACCAAGAGCCCAAGTCCCTCAGTACCCGGGCTTTAGAATTGAGATGGCACAGGTTTGAGTCCTGATGTGAATAAAAAATGTAAAAATGGCAACTAGTTGTTGGATATCTGCTTGTCTGCTTACTGGCAACGGTCGAGGTGCAACACTGTTTGCATATCTCTTTCACTCAGAATCTCCCCATGCATGCCTGCAACGTGTGCGATGTGCTTCTACGTGGTCTGCAACATGAAAACAAACGATAATGAGACAAAGTCAGAAGGGACTGTTTTTCTTTTTTTTTTTTGAGAAGACACGGGGGGGGCGACTTTGATGAAGATGAAGACCTGAGAATGAGATACAGCAGTGTGTGACACAGACAGGGACCGAATGCACATCTTTAAGCACTTTATCATAAGGTTTGTGCTGAAAAAAAAAAGCCAGCCAGTGTGTGTTACTTTTTATTTAAATGACATTAAATACATTTTTATTCAACAGAGATGATACCGCAATTTGCTTGCTCTAACTCTTTTCACAGATGGCGTCAAATAACAGGTTGTTATGAATCACAAGTGGGTGGGTTTGTAAAGATGCCCAACATAACCTACTTCAACCTCACCATGTTCTTGAACATCGGCCCATACCGCTACCCGGCGTTGGCCTCCTGCCTCCTCCTCTACCTCTTCATCGTGTGCGCCAACTGGGCCATCGTCCTGACCATCTTCCGCGAGAAGAACCTTCACGAGCCCATGTACATATTCATCGCCAGTTTGTCCTTTAACGCCCTGTACGGCTCCACGGGCTTCTTCCCCCGTTTCCTGATGGACCTGGCGTCCGACACTCATCTGATCTCGCGCGCCGCCTGCTTTACGCAGATCTACCTCATCTACACGTACGGCGCCAATGAGATGACCACACTTTGCGTCATGGCCTACGATCGCTACCTGGCCGTGTGCCACCCGTTGCACTACCACACCAGGATGACTGTGAAAAAGGCCCTGACCCTGGTCGGTCTGGCCTGGCTCTTTCCCATCTTCATCCTCACCACGGTCATCTACCTGTCCGCAACGCTGCCCCTGTGCGGCATTGAGATTCAGAAGGTGTTCTGCGCCAACTGGAATGTCGTCAAGCTGTCGTGCGTGCCCACGGTGGTCAACAACGCGGTGGGCATGTTCGTGACCATCTCTACCATTTTCATCCCGTTGGCCTTCATCCTCTACACGTACACTCGCATTATGAGCACCTCCTGGAGACGTTCAGCCAAATACAAGGGAAGAGTATTCCAGAGCTGTTTGCCACACATGGTCTCCTTTGTCATTTTTTCCATCACTGCGTTTTGTGATATTGCCCTAAGCAGGTATAATGTGGAGCAGATGAACCCCTTCGTAGCCATCATCTTCTCTCTTGAGTTTGTGGTCATTCCGCCAGTTCTCAACCCTCTAGTGTATGGTATGAAGCTATCGGATATACGCAGACACATCTTCAAGATGCTGTGACATCCTGGAAGCCAATGGTGTCTGTGTGTGTGTGTGTGTGTGTGTGTGTATTTTATATATATATATATATATGGAGAGAGAGAGAGCGCGCGAGAGAACACACACACACACACACACACACACACACACAAACGTATGTGTACACGCACACACAAACGTATTTGTACTCTATTTTTATTCCAATAGTGCATAAGTATGAGCACACACTTATTTGACACTTCATATTGTCAGTGGAGAAAGAAAAAAAGGGAAAGAAATTGCGAAATTTACGATCAGCATTCACTTTCAGTTACAGCAATTTCTTGGATAATGTCTTTTATTTTGCTTGCTCCGTCTTTCATTTTGATCACTTTTACCCTCTCTTCCAGCATCAGAGCTCTTGTCTTAGCTGCTTGATATCCAAGGCCCATTTTGTCGCCATTTTAGCAATGCAATGTCCATCCTCGTCTGAATCTAACAATAACAAATACTTCCTGGCATGCAATAAATGAACTTTTAAGCCAGCCACGGTACGCTTCGTAGTCCTCGATGGCCATCGTTAGCTCTCGAAGGCTAAAAACCTTCCGCTAACTGGAGCACTTCTCTCTCATTCGCGCTCCAGTTAGCGTAAGGTTTTTAACCTTCGAGAGCTAACTATGGCCATCGAGGGCTACGAAGCGTCCCGTGGCTGTTTTTAGCATGATAACAAGTAAAGCATTCGAGCAAATGTTCGTTTATTTGAATGTCCGTTGAGCCATAAGCAATTTAGCATTAGCAGCTAATCGGATGCTACGGATCTAGCTTCAGTATCTACACACATAGACAGTGAGGTCCCTCTTGGCCAATCGGAGGCCAAGATGATGCTCGGTAAGCGAATGGCAGAGGTCGCTGTTGGATTCGACTTCGTTGTAGTGAATGTCTTCACAAGGCTGGAGCAGAGAAAATGATTTCGTATAACGCAACAGGGTTTTTTTCGTCGTATGGGGGGCAGGAGAATGGGAATTCTGTTAATGCATGAAGATTTTTTCACATAAGGGGGTCTTTCGCCCATGTAGGTTTCGTTCTAGAGGAGTTTCACTGTACTCGCAGGCACATATTCTTCATCCTCTGCAATGAATGAATATTATTGGGCTTCCTGAGGAGCTGAAACGTCCATCCAACTGCGTTTGTATTTTACTGCCCCCAGGCGGCCAGGACACCAGAAGCAGCAGCATATTGTCCATTGATTGATGGAAAAAATGTGGCAAAACCTATTTCTTTACAGTGTATTTCATTATTTCAGTTATTAAGGTATGTTTTTATTAAGTGCAATTGTATCAAGTGCTGTTTTTCTGATTCAAAACAAATACGATGAGCGGTGGTGGTGGTGGGGGATTAGGTTCATTGCTTTTCCATTCAACTGTGACACGGTGACTCATGACAACTAGATGTATAACCTCGCACTTCAGTCGGATTTGGCCATGTTCCATAACTGGCAGATAATGCAACATAAATTCCCCCACTTTGACATAGTTAATAAAAAGCAACACAATCACATGCTCAAGAAAGCCTCTTTAAAAATATTGGTTTCTTTATATTCAGAGGTCATGCCAGAGCTGCTGTGTGGCCTTTAAGTCCGTGAGTCGGAATTAATGTGATTCACTGACCGTATGCAAGACTATGATAAGAAACTGAGGTGCTGTTACAAAGTTGGAATCTGGCAAGTCTTTCTCGTGAGATGCCTCAGGTACAATACACACACACACACACACACACACACACACACACACACACACACACACACACACACGACTAGCTCAAGTATTTACAGCTTTTCACAAATACACACACACTTCCACAAACCTGGTGAGCTATTTCAATGTCCACTCTGGGGACCAGCTCAGTTTCACATGCACTGGCATTACCGAACACACACACACACACACACACACGCACGCACGCACGCGGGGAGAACTGTAAACAAGTTAAAAAAAAAAAAAAACATTCATTTCTCCTACGTACAGGATTGACGATTCACACTGTTAAGGTGGTGGACTTTGTGAATGGTGAAAAGTGTGCTGAAGGAAGCAATGACAAGGAGATCGAGATTAGTTAGCGTGTGACTGTGCTGCATTTCCGAGAGAAACACTCACGGCAAAGAAATGCACCAAGAGTTGCTTTGTGAGTCAAGTCTTTTAATAACAGGTGGTGAGGGTGACAAAAACAAACAAACAGAAAAAGAGCCTTGGGAACAAAACCAACAATCAAACCTGATGACTCGTGAGGAATGAGTGATAATTGTGAGTCTTTTTCTTTTTTTTAAACAGTCGTGAGATTTCAGAAAAAAAAAACCCATCAAAGTCATTTATTGATTGAATAAAAACATCCTGTATCAAATGCCTGCATCCATTCTGTGAAAGAATTAAGTGAGAAATAAGGACTCCGTGACCAATGTGCTGCACTCAAGCAGAAGGTGACGAGTTGAACAGCTTAAGTCAGCGGAGTCCAAACGGAGTACTTGAAGGCCCTGTCCTGCATGTTTTAGAGGTTGCCCTCTTCCAGTGCAGTTGATTCAAATGAACAGTTCATCAAGCTCTGCAGAAGCCTGATGACGATCCTGATCACTAGAGGAGGGAAACATCTAAAAACATGCAGGATCGCGGCCTTCCACGACCAGTTTTGGACACCCCTGAAGTTATTTCACAAGTATACTAGTTATCACAAATATACCAGTGAGTGCACCTCCGCCAGCTTTCTAAAGTATACTATCGTAGCTTTCACGAATATACCAGGGAGTACAAGTATACCAGTTTTTACAAGTACATCCGTGGCTGCAAGTATGCCATCTTCACAAGTATACCAGCTTTCACAAGTATATTAGTGAGAGCAAGTATGCCATTTTCCCCTAGTATGCCAGCTTTCACAAGTATACCAGTGAGTGTAACCAGTTTTCAGTATGTTCAAAAGTATGCCAGTGTGTGTAAGTATACCTTCTTTCAAATGTGAACCAGTTTCCGCAAGAACGCCATTTTCCACAAGTAGACCAGTGAGAACAAGTACACCAGCTTTCACAAGCACGCCAGTGAGCGCAATCATCCCAGCTTTTGCAAGTGTACTACTTTTCACCAGTCTACCAGTGAATGTGACGATACCAATTTTCACAGGTTTGCCAGTGAGTGCAATTCTACCAAGTTTTGCAAGTTATACTACTTTTCAAAAGTATACCAGTGAGTATTAGCACAGTGATTTTCACAGGTATACCAGTGACTGCGAGTACACCAATTTTCACAAGTATGCCAATGACTACAAGTATACTGTATCAGCTTACATAAGCATATCAGTGTGAGTATCAGCATATCACTTCTAAGTAGTGCGCTCATCAGTTTACATCAGTTTCCACAAGTATACCAACGAGTGCAATGGGCACTCAACACTAAAAGAACAGCAGTCATCTTTTTTTTCTTTATTTTCTACTCAACTACTGACCTTTAGTCCTGATCCACTAGCACGGGGACTCAGTCAGCACAAATAAATCAGAAGCAGCGATGTCTAGTTTTAAGGCTTGCATGAAATCTCAACGGATGGAGATAATTCTGTCATCGAAAGGAGTACACAGAGTGGCCGCATGATCGCGTGAGCGAAAAAAAAGTTCACATGGACGCTACATGTGGCACAGGAGGGAGGTGGAAGAAGAGAGTGGAATATGTAACCTGTTAGGGCAAAAGATTGCACGACACTATGTACAGCGGCAGCTGGGATTTCACATGGGGTAAAAATAAATGCTAAAATGCGGTTACTGTACTTCATTTGCATGGTTTGCCGCATCTCAGCAGCTCTGTGTTACTCATGACAACGTAACCATGATGTGCGAATTTGCTCAGTGATTCATTGTTTGACAGGGTCAGAAATGGTGGAAGTGAGGTTGGACGCGGGGCCCTTGCCTGAGCAAGCTTGATTTAAGGCAAAGGTCAACTTATCGCTATTCCAGTCTATATGTGGCCGAGCAAATATGTCAACAGCTGTGCGAGGCTACGTGGCGACAGCTGGTGACCTTTTGTTTGGAATCTGGCAGAGCCACCCCAGCCACTTCACCTGTCATGGATGCCAGCTGACAGGCTGCAGTGTTTGAGGGGACACGGGGAGTTGCCCTAATTCAAAATGAAATAATAATATGGATGAACATGTAGAAAAAGAGGCATGAAGTACAGCTCTGGAAAGGATTACATGAGTCAACGGCAAATTTTAATCAGAGATGGCTTTACGTGTTTGACATATTTGTGATGGTAATTTTTTTTAAAAATGACTTTTTTTCTAGAACATCAGTCTTTTGAGATATTTTCATTTTTTTTGTGTTTCAGTTCAACCTATAAAAGGTAGCCTAATACAGATTTTAAACATGCGTTGTCATTTTTAGCTATGACGTTGCAAAAGAAAAAAAAAATCCACCTGTTGCTAAACCTAACTCTTAATTCAGAAATATTGCAGATATTATGATGTGCTTGAGAAAAAAAAAGGTCAGATTCGGAATCTGCACAAAAAAAAAGATGCATGTCAGATTTTTTTTTAAATATTTTTTTGTGTTGTGAGACCACTGCAAAATAATTGATATGTCGAGTGGTGCCTTACGTGAATTTGCTTTATAACTCAAACCACTTTAGCTTAATTCATCTTTCCATATTAAAATGGATAAAAAAAATAGCACTCCATAGTATTGTATTCATACAACCATATAGAATGTAACTAAAGAGTTTTTGCCATGGTTTTTGCTTCAATTCATTGGACATTGTACCGCTCCTACTGCTGTGCATGCCTTGGCCACCTGGAGGCACTATAATAGACAGGTACACAAATGAAAAGTTTCACAAGTGACTCAAGTTTGTTGCCAAGGATAAAGAATATATGCCTTTCAGTATTGTTATATTGTCTGTCTATATGTATGGCTCCAGCATTTTGTGTTCAAATATCCTTTGCTTAAGGGGTTCTAACACGACAGCACCTAAGCGACTGGTTAGCCTTTCTATGGCGTAGTGCATTATTTGTTAGTGCTTATGAAAGCAAAGCTAAGGGGAAGTTTTAAATACACAAGGTAATTCTCTTTGTTTGATGTTTAGTTTGACAATAAACAAACCAGGAGTGGCATTAAACAGTTTGAAGATAATATCACTAAAGCAAAATGAACATTTTTGTTTCATTCTATAAGCGACTGACAACATGAAAGGGAAATGAACATTTTTTTTTTTGGATAAAAGTTTCAGCGTTTTTTTTTTTTTTTTTTCCAGAGCTGTATGTCAGGTATGATAGCTCGCACATGCACAGCCCTTATTGAAGACAAACACCAGGATCAGGTTGGCATGATCACACGAGTCAATCAAAAGGGGACTGAGTGACATTGGAGGCTTGACGAGGGTTACACTTGATTTGTGTCCTTCTGAACTCAGCACATGACACAGTGCACTCCTTAGGGGAAGCTTCCAGAAACTAAAGGTGGGAGTGGTCCTGGGTTTGCGAGTCAGAATACCTCGTAGTCCATCAAAGCTATGTTAATGCAGTAATTACAGTGAACAATTGTATGAAAAACACTTCTAGGCCATGAATATAAAATAATCAAATGAATCAAATGTATGGTGGTAACTGAGTGTGCCTTGTTGGGTCCCGTATTCTTTAAACTAGTGCATAGTGCACCATTCCAAACCTGGAATCCCAGCTCCGTGGTAAACTCAGGACCCCGCCTACCAGTTTTGACATGGCACACTTTAGCTCATCAAGCTGTTTCCATTCTACATTTGCGTATCTAAGCGCATGGTCCTCACCGGCGTAAGGTGAACGGTCATATTTCCATGGTTTGGGGAAGTTTTTGCTTTAAAAAAGGAAAGCGGGTGCATGAAAGGGGGACTTGGAGGGTTGGGGGTGCACGCGGATGGAGGGCCCTGTTCTGACCTGGACTACATCGCCACTCCCTAATTGGGTGACGACAGACAGGAAATGTGGTTTGGTAGGGAGGTAGTGCAAAGCAGGACGCAGGCTATGTTTGTGGCCTTCCATATGACTGCAGGTAGGTTAAGAGGTGAGAGGTGAGAGGTTTAAGATTGGCGGGATTAACGGGGCTTGGCTGTGGAAAGTGGGTCACTAGTTGTTTTAAGATGCAGTACAGCACCCCCCTCCCCCACCCCTCCTCCTTCTCCTCCCTCATGTCTTGTGGACCCCTAGTGCTCTTACTCATTACGGCTTCTAAGTCTGCTCTCTATTGTGGTTTCGCAGCTGGGTCTCCTCCCCGACCGAGCGGCCGAATGGACGGTAGGAGGAGAGTGGGAGTCGGTCCGGGGTGACGCGTCTTTAGTTTTGTTTCTTGGTCTCTTGGTCGCCGTAACTGGAGCCTGTCTTCTTGACCTCGGTGACGCCGATCAGGCGGCGGATCGCAATGGAGGCTGGAGACAAAGAAACAAATGTCAGCTGTTTAGTAGAGGTAAGACAAAAAGTGGAGGCATAACGTTTGAGTTTTAAGTTGGGCTGTGAAACTGTACCCGCTGAAACAAGCCTCCAGTGGCTGCAATTATAACGATCGGGTCAGCAACACTTCGCAGTGCGAACATGCTTGAGTTTCATTTAAAAAAAAAAACAAAACAAAAACACCCCCTGGCAAATGTGCTGCATCAAAGGAGGGCACACTGGTTTTTATATAGTGGGAATGTGCATATACAGTATACATATATAATATATTCAGACGCATATGTCTTCGACAGCGTCTTAAACCGTTTATGATGGGGGGTTGATTGCGTGTCCGTACCTATGATGAGAAAGATGATGAAGCCAATGATGAGAAGCGGGGAGCCACTGACTGCCACCCCACACGCAAACTTGATAAGTGGCGAAAGCAGCAGCGTGGCCCAGAACAGGAAGTTGAGCAGCGTCCACGGACGGCGAGGAGGGATTACTGTGGGCCCCGGGAATTTGCCTTCCTTGCTGTAGGTCTCCTGTAAGGCATCCTGAAGGGGGGAAATATTCGTGAGCAACAACTGGATGTACTGTATATGTCTGCTAAAGAGGTTGAGCTTAAAGGTCAGATTCCAAAGATTTTTCAGTCTCCCTTAAAATTCATATTGTCATTGGTAGTATGCTTTGTAACATACACGTCACTTCCTGCAAGTCAACCACATTTCAATTAAAAAAAGGTTTGAATTACTCATTCTGAGTGTTTCCGAACCTACTGGAAAGCTTGAAGCATCCTGGGTGTAATTACTCAAGCCACCGCATCATTCTTAAGTGTCGACGGTGCGTGCAAATAACCCCCCACCTCTGGCCTGCGCCATGACGATCGGTGTTCTTCCTGCTGCAGGGGGTTGAAGTCACGTTTGCCGAAGGAAAAATTGTTGGCACGGGAGCTGGTTTCAATCCGGGTGGAACTACACTCGTATACCCGATGCTCTCTGATAAATGTTTGCTGAAGCACGCCGGTTTCAACGTGATCAGCACAGAGCTTGAAGTACTTGCTTGCCGACCACAGTTGACCACGCTTTCCGCCCTGCCGATTGACTTTCCGATCCACCGGTCAGGTATTTCTTTATCTCTTTGTAAAGATGAAGAAAATGTCGCAATTCTCTTCACCAATAGGGCAACCAACTGTTACACAATGAGTGAGCCATCATTTAAGTGCTAAATAATGTGGAGACCAGCTGAACACAAACAGCACACAACCGCATGCCACAGAAGCCACTAAAATGTTTGTCTTCTGTGACGTCAAAGCTCTGGGAAGACCTGAAGATGCGAGGGCACGAGATTCAAACCGCAGACAACACATTCTGAATTGTATTTAGTGATTATACTCCTGTCTGCCAACAACCTAATCACTTTTTAATGACAGTTATGCATTGTAAAGGAGTTCTCGTGGTCTCAAGAAGAACTTTGGAAATCTTTCGTCTCTGACCTTTAATGGCATCGGAACATGAATAAGTTCACTCGTCACACGTGAATGGAATGAAATGTTACCTTCTCCTGGTAGAGCTTATGCAGCCAGTTGGCACACTCGGCTTCATCAGCTGGAATCTCTTCCACAGGGAAACGTCTGCAGTGAAGCAAGAACAAGGGCAAGAGTAAATTCAACTTCATCAAGGCACAAATTGAAACAAAAGAGCACAATTGAGATGTAAAATGAGGGTATTACTAATATTTTGACTAAGGCACTGGATTTTCATTTTCGCCATGTTCAAATGTGTTGCGTTTGGAAAGAGACAGTTCTAATGTTGGAAAGATCATTAAATGAGGAGCTTTTGCAATTAGACACACATCATATAACAAAAACATCATATGTTATGTGTGACATCACATTGGACTTTTAGCAAATGTACATTTAACACAGCTTTTATTATGACGTTGCTTTCACTATGGATCGGCTTAATTAATTGCAATAGCCCCTTCAGATTTTAAAAAAATCTGTATGCACATAAAAGCGTAATATCGGCAATCATTTTTTCAAATCAGCAAACTAATTTGTATCTGTTTACATCCAAATTTCAGATAAAATTTACTCTGTTGTTAAAGAACTCACACTTGCCCACTTTAATTTAATAACATGGAAAGTGTTGAACTGAATGCTCCTTTAGCAATTCCATTTAACACGAGAGTTAGAAAAGACACAAGGACTACTAAATGATTCATGATGGTAGCCTGTGTAACTGCCTCACAGTCAAAATGTTGTGGTTTGAAATCCGCCTCCATCCCAGAGTCGGTTGGGATAGGCTACAGCTCACCTGTGACCCTAATGATGTCAAATGCTCCAGAAAATGGATGGTTTGATAAATGAATTGTGAAAATAATGTGTGAGCAGTGGCACTCTCCTACCACTAGGTGGCTCCCTCGACTAAAGGAGACGATTTACTAAAACGCTGTGGATTTATTATGCAAACGGCACCATATCCGTGTCCAAATAATGATACGCATGACTTTTTCTTTGTCAAAAATGCTTCCATGGGAGAGGTCAAAGGTGCCACTGTCTGTTGTGGTACTAGATAAGATTCCTCACCCAAACTGAGTGTCCTTGTGGTCATATTATTTATAGTCGGCACTGTTATTCATTTGCTCAAGGCAAAATGTGCAGCGGTTATGTGTAAGAGCAAACAGCCCGCGAGAAACAATAGCCACATCAATGCAGAGGGTCATGTTCAGACAAGTCTGTGGCTCATGCCAGTGAAGCGTTCTCACCTTACGCTCATGTCTGCTTTGTATTTCTTGCCATTGACAATGCCCAGGAGAGTGGGTGTCTGCTTATCTTTGAAGTTGAGTGTCACGTCATAAACGGCAGTCACTGTAAATAAGGGAAAAAAAAAAGGCACACATCAAAAAAAGATACATTCCAGATGGCATGTGTGTATTTTTACATTTTACCTGTGCCCTTGAGACACTGCAGGGTGGTGGTAAACCCTTTGGTGCGTGGTAGAAGGTGATATTTGAGCTTGGGCAGGCCTTTACTCTCTGCGACCTGCATGCTTATCTGGTGCTTCTTCTCTGTAAAGCGGGTCCCTTCACAATACAGCAGGAACTGAAGAGGGAGAGTAGGGGGAGATTTGCCATGTTATGATAATACACACTGAAAACCTCGCTTGGATTGTTTTGCCCCAGTGTGGCATTTTAAAGGGGAATTCAGGGCTCAAGGACAAAACAAGAGAGGGGGGGTGGAAAGAGAGAGAGAGAGAGAGAGAGAGAGAGAGAGAGAGAGAGAGACAGACAGACAGACAGACAGACAGACAGACAGACAGACACCTGCGGTGAAATGTTCAATACAGCTGGAGCAGTCAAAGAGATTCAGTTGTGTACCGGTGCCAAGATAAATGGAGAAAAAAATGGGCCAAAAGGGAAGAATCTGCTGTTTGGAGGACATTCACTTCAAAACCGAACAACATTACTATCATTATGTATATTTCACGCAAAGATGGGCACTTTACCCTATTTTGCCAGACCTTCCTCCGTCCGCGACCTGTGTACCCTTCCTTACTCATATAATAAGTGTCCTCCATCCCTGTCTATCCTCATCCTTTTAAAGCGCTTGGTGGGTGGGCACCGAGAGACATACAACACAGCCAGCTTTCTTAGCCGGCTGGATTGATCGTTTGTGAAATGGGTGTCCGTAGGTACTTTATGTTCTCTGACTGTACACTAGGTGGCAGTGTTTGAAGTGGCAGTGGCAGTGGCAGAGTTGAAAAAGGAAGGAGAGTTATTTAATGGAGACTAAGTGAGTCGTATGAACTAGTGTTGTTAAAATACAGCGCTTGGCTACACTCTGGCCTTGTTATTTTGCCTTCCGACACCACATACTTAACCTGTTTAGAGACGATTAAAGCAATTGACGAAAATTTACTTGCGTCCTTGCTTAGTCTGTCCTTTTAAAAAAAACTTCTTGTCCTCTGTCCCCAAAATGGGCGGAATGCCCATCTCTGATTTCAAGTTCATTCTCCTTCATTTGAAATCTATTTATGTGAATTTGTCGGTTATATCAACCTGCAATATTACATTTATGTTCACCGCCAAGCATGCTAAAACATTATTACTGTATATAAGTCCGGTCTGGATTGTAAAAAACTGGCCTAGCGAGCTTCAACCCAAGTGGATATGTACGTGCCAGAGTGGTTTTAGCTCATTTGCTATGTATTTAATGAGTAGTGGTGTTATGATTTTCCATAATTTGTCCATCACTTATAACACGGAGCTTCTAAAAATGAACATACTTTAGGTTGCAAAATTTGGATTTCGACCAACATTTACAGTAGAAAAAGTCCCACAACACTTTAAATTATCAAGTATAATTACACGCGAGGAGACCTTCGTTTAGTGCATCAAATATTTAAACCTTGTTGTGTGTTTATCTTTTATTTGTTTTGTCATTATTATTAATTTATTATTATTATCATTTTTTTACAAAACAAGATTTTAAACAAGTCCTCAGCATATTTCACAGAGGATAGGACGATAATACACCAGACGTAAAGTAAGGGGACCCGATTTCAAAACAGTCAGAATATTCTTCTGTAGCATTTGGATTTGCACTCACCCACATATGTTCAGGATAGTCTTTAAGCCTGTCCAATCCGCTGAAGACAGTTTTCCGGTCCTCTTCCCACTTCCGCTTGCAAAAAACTATTTCTAAGAAGTACCAGGTCCAGCCAATCAGAGGAACTTTCAGTAGCTCATGTTTAGCTAGGACTTTTGAACTCTGAAGGGAAACAGAAGCAGAGGAATTCAATTGTCATTTTATTCATTTACATCAGGACTCAACTCAGTTATCAGCACATTGGTACATCTTTAAATGTGCTAAGTTACAGCAATCAATTAAATCCAACTGACCCCCAGGACACCATATCGTTCACACATGGTCCAGCCACACAGGAAGTCAATCTCATAGTTGTGGTTGAGAATGATGATGACATGTTCTTTGCCAAATTTGTCCACCGTAGCCTGGTCCGTATACAAAGTGCACTCTGTGCCGGACCACCACTCTAGCAGCATCACCAGCTCTGTCCAGAAACAACAAAACACTGTCATTTACAATATCTGTCTGATCCAAGATGTTGTAATAATAATGGCCAAAGTGAGGAAACGATTCCAAATGTGAGACCGTCAGCGTCTGACGGATTAATTCGGTTTTGACATTTTTGTAAGCAGTTTGTTTTCTTGCCCAAGGCTTGCCAATTGACATTGGAGCAGTGTCACAAAAACTAACGCCTGGCAAGAAGTTTTTCCGCCCCTAACCAAGTTCATTACCAGTTTGAGAAGCTTTGCAGCCATCACACTACTCCAACTACAATTTCTGTTATCCATGGCAAGTTTGTCGAACCAGGAGCTGTTCTTTACAAAGCAAAGGGCCTGCTTCTAATGTTTGTGATAAAATCACCAAACTCTTACAGAAGGCATTCGCACAAAGCCGGGGAGAGTCTAAGTGGAGGGCTACAATGGTATTCAGCATTTATAAAAGATTGACTGAGCAGATGCTTTGGAAAATGATAAAGCATTACCCGTACCAATTTCAAGTTGTTTAATGGCTTCAACTGGAGGACAACACATCATAATGCAGTGCACAAACAAAAATGGAGTATAAAACATTGAATACAAATATTGGAGAATTTTTTTATCATTCTGATAGCATGATAATGACGTAGTTAGCATGTCTGAGGCACACTGCCTAAAAGATTCGCAGGGGACAAAACCATTCATTGGTTCATCACAAAGAAAAAGAAACCCATTCTACTCACGGCTCCAGAGAGAGTACGCGAGCCGGCAGTTGATTCGGCGATAGAGCTGCTTGTTGATTGGCCAGATGATGCACGTGCACAGCTGGATGAAGTTTATGATGAGGCCGCTCACCACAAATACAAAGCCCATCAACAATTGAAGAATGAACAGGCTCTTGATGTAAGCCAGGAGAGCCATGCTTGAGAAGCCCAGGGAGCTGAGGGGGCTCCTCTCTATACACGATGACCAACCTGAGGGATAAAACGAACAACATTGAGGATCAGAAACCAGAGTGGGAGAAGAAGCATCACAAAAAAACAAAACAAACAAACAAACAAAAAAAAAACACAAAGAAAATGTCCTTACCACGGTGGTATCCTTTTACAAGCCTCGTTTGCACGGTCCTTCGGCCAATACTACAGTCCTGAAACCAGAGATTTAATCCATAAGAAAAAGAAGCTGAAATGTAAAATGGCTTTAAAATAGTGAGCAAAAATGTTCATAACTGGTAATTTCCAGAAAATGAACAGCTCCAAAGTCTCACTCATTAATCATTTATATATCCTACCAGTGATGCTGACAAAACAAAAGTAGCCTCTAACTGTCTGTCCAGGCTATTGCTTGCTTCTCCCAATCTATCTCCCAATCTGCTCCACATTCCTCATAGGCACTAAATTTATCTTACATATTGCTTAAATTACAGATGTCAGGGACTCAACAAGGATCCAAAGATGTCTTACCATAACTGTTGGGTCTACAGTGAGAAATACAAAAATTGCAGTTATCTAATGCCAGAAGCACTCCAGAGAAAACATGGCATTGAAATGCCTTACAAACACAATGGAAAGACAACAGCAGTGGATGGCGGTCAGAAAAAAAAAAGAATGGATATATAATTCTGTAATTAACTGGGTTATAATTGAATATTTCTAGGGTAAAAAAAAGAACCCAAAGACCTGAAACACACTTTCAGAATATCAGCTCCCAAAAACAATGCTCAGTGAAGGCAAATGCAAACTAAAAGCACAAACTGCGCTGTCATGGCTTGGGCTTGCATGTCGGCCTTGAAATGTACTCACTCGTTTAAATTGATGATGTAACAGCAGAATTCATTCTGAAGTCGACAAAATTATTTTGTCTGGCAATTTACAGAAAAATGCACCCAAACTAATGGGGAGAAGCTTCATCAGGCAACAAGATAAAAACCCACAACACACTGCCAATGCAACAAAATATTAATTCCAGGATGGGACGTGTAAGGTCTTATGGCAAAGTCAATCACCAGACCCAATAGAGCATACATTTCACTACTTGATAGGAGAACCGCCCAGAAACAAACAAGAACTGAAAGAGGCTGCAGCAAAGGCCTGGAAAAAGCATTTCAAATGAAGAATGCAAAAGTGTGGTCAAGTCAGTGTGTTGCAGGCTTGTTCTTGCGAGTGAGGGTTATGCCACCAAATCTGAAAAGTTATTCACTTTCAGTTAATTTTGCTGGCTTGAATTGTGGGTTGCTTTATACAAAAGGTAAAACAGGTAAGGCTAGACTCAGACTCACTCACAGCACTAATCACGACAACCACTCCAGAGAATAGGCAGATGGATCGTGAAAAATGTAATAAAAAGTAACCCGTGCCCCAACTTTATGCAAGCTTAGTAGTAATCAGTCAATTTTAATTGGCCACACTTGAGCAAGTTTATTATGATATTGTACTATACCGCAGAACCGTGACATTAATAGTGATAATAAAGATTAACAGTCACTTTATGATTAAATCCTTTTTTTTTTGTTTTGTTTTTTTTTTTTAAATAACTTTAAAAAGTGTACTTTCATGAGCTGCCCCCTCTCCATTTTATGCAACCAAGATTTGGAGTGTGGCTTCTGTTTCAAAGTTGTCTTAGATCTTAAAAGTGAGACTTTGGTTCCTAAAAACAACTCGACACTGGGTGGGAGGGTTGTAGCTGCTGGTCGCTCACTTCATTCTTATCTCCAACCTCAACTGCAGAAGTAATGAAAAAACAGTCGCCAAGAGTTGCTGATTCAGTTTCTCATGCTGCCCTACAAAGCCACGTGCCTGATGGCCTTTGCATCTCATGTTACCCTGGGCACATGTTGATTGGATCAAACGTGACCGTCTGAGTGCATCGGACCACACTTGCCATCACAATCGGTCTGACAGCAAGGTTTGGACACATCAGCTCCAATTGAATAACAGATGTCAGCTCCCACAGAGTACACATCAGAACATGAAGTATGTGCATTGCAAATACATGCAAAATGTATTATTATTATTATTATTTGATTTGGGCGGCTTGGTGGTCCAGTGGTTAGCGCGTGCAGAGGTGCACGGTTCGATTCCAGCTCCGGCCATTCTGTGTGGAGTTTGCATGTTCTCCTGCGTGGGTTTTCTCCGGGTACTCCGGTGTCCTCCCACATTCCAAAAACACGCATGGCAGGCTTATTGAACACTCAAAATTGTCCCTAGGTGTGAGTGTGAGCGCGGATGGTTGTTCGTCTGTGTGCCCTGCGATTGGCTGGCAACCGGTTCAGGGGGTCCCCGGCCTACTGCCCGAAGACAGCTGGGATAGGCTCCAGTGCCCCCAGCAACCCTTGTGAGGATAAGCGGATCGGAAAATGAATGATAAAATATAATAATAATTTGACTTGTTAAACTAGCTGAACCAAACAAATATCAATGACACAAATCTGTCTTAAAGCCAAGTGTGCCTTTACAATACACCATGCACGAATCCAAAGCACAAAAATAGTATCTGATATGGTTTCAACTGAACCCCCCTAAAATATTTAACTGGTGTATTTAAAATCATTAAAATCTCTAAGTATGGATGGATGACATTCATAAATGAATACAAATCCTTTTTAACAGACATTAAACATACTAATGTGAAATCAGCTCTTCAAAGTGACCCACTGAGTGACCAAAAAAAGTTCAACATTTTTCATCAACTGTTTGACGGTGCTTGGAAAGTTTCTTTTAAATATTGATCTTTTCTAAAGGCAAACTACGACAAAACACCCCCACACAAAAATGTAATATTTCCCACAAGTTCATTTGCTGCAAAGTAAAAAAAAATCTCGACACAAATGGGAAAAAAACAAAACAGCAAAGCTACGATTTAGATCAGGTAAAATTCAAACGTGTAAGCAGTATGTAGCCAACAATTACGCTACATCGACAAGGCAAACGCATGCTGATCAATTCAAGTCATGCAGCAACTACATTACCTCAGCTCAGTCCCCGCGGCCAATAGACAGGGAATGAATCCACAAGTCAGAATGATAAAATACTGTCACGTGATTCTCTGTGTTCAAAGTCAATTGATGTCGTCAAGTCCAAACATCCCCACCCGTCTCTGATCAGTGTTGGCGTCGTGATAAATAGCCAGTGCTCAAGTCACCCTCGTGGTGCCTGCTATGTAACCGGGAAGGTTTGGAAATGTCAACTTACTGGGAATCTGATCGTTCCGACATGATTATAAAAGTAGGTCTGTCGGAACAAGGGGTGTCCATTGCAAACAGCTTATCGGTGAATGCATTGCGCTCAATAACTTGAACCTTTACGTGAAGACCAACTAGCAATAAATCGTAGAATCAGTTGTCTATCTTATCTGTATGTTGTGTAACTTTTAGCACAATGGTATAACCTGACAACATATTGACGGTTAAGTATTATTTTGACTTTAAATTAGAGGGGATTTCATAGATCTTAAATAGATAGGCGGTAAAGATGCATTTTTAACAAATTTGCATTCATGTATTCGACTACACCGACACGCGATTGGAATTGAAATATTCATGTGGGCAACTCCCAGTGAAAGAAAGATTTCTACACTTGCCAAGACCTTTGTTCTTATTTCCTCTTGACACACTTTTCTACTTACCTCACATGCTTGCACTTTGTACACACATCAAGCACCAGGACAAAATAAAGGCAGCAGCAGCTCATGCTGCCGGCCGAGAAAAATGCTGCTTAACACAAATTTTGCGAACAGTCAGGACCTTGTAAAAATTGCAAAATCATTCTACCCACTGTGAAATTAAAAGATGAAGCGAGAGTTTCACCCCGAGAGCCAACTGAACTTGACGGAACGATAAATCACTGACCGGGTTAAAGCTGCTTAGAACTGCACAGCTGTTTGTCTAATACCACCAAATAGCCAGCCACGGGTCACTTATAGGTACTGCGGTTGAACAAACACTAACACTTTGTGTACTCTCCTACTCTTTAAACTCAAAACACTTCACCCTGCTAAAGTCAACTGCATACATGCTCTACTTGCAAACAATGAGCCCGTACGGCTACCGACTCATTTGAAATTTCAGTTGCTCGGTCACCTCTTCTGATCAATTTGGTAGTACCCAGGATATTCTCCAGTGCCCGGAATCCATATTTGTCCGTTTCACTCACCAGTAGACATAGTAGGCCATTGCCATGAGCACTAAGGCGCCACAAATTCCTGTGAAGATCATCACAGCACTCTGGTTCAGCATTTTGGTGGATGATGGTTCACCAAAAGAGGGCCAAAATAAAAACAAAATGCCAGCAGTGAGCAGCTGGTTGTCACAGGCTGCCCTGTGCCGGCTCCATCATAATCCCATCGAAGGAAAGAGATTATGATGACAACAAGAACACCTTCTGTAGAAGGAATTGCTTGATCGGCAAGTAATTACTGACGACCAAGGAAGTCCCATCAAAACATCAACAACAAAATTTGGATTCCCAATGAGAGCAAGTGGAAAACCTAAACAAATATCCAGTCGGAACTGCAGACCGCGAGGAGATTCAACTAATGGATGAACGCTAGGAGGGCAGGCACACAGTCCCGTAAAAACCATCTGACTGTATTCTCATTCTCTAATCCAGGGGATTAGATTAGTGACGATTAGCAGGCGACGGGCATCCAGGCATCCTGGATATGTCGCGTTTCATTACCATTAACCAATAGGTTGGAGACGGCCGGTTGTCTGGTTGAGTTTGTCACCCAATTTTGCCATTAGTTGTCGTCCCAAATTAGTTGTTACCATCTTTTAAATGATGAAGGTGTTCGGAGTGAATATCCTTCGTAGAAATGCGAAATATTTCCAGTGTTCCATGAAGGTTTAGTTGTGTTAGCATATGAGAACCTGTCACCATGTTACAACTGTTAAATTGGAATTAAGACTACCCTTGTAGGTAATAGAAAACATCTCCATAATGATGGAAAAATTGGGAAATCGATCTCAGTGTCGGTAGCCTGTCTATGATGTTTTATACGGTGTGGAAGCATGAAGACAGTAACTTGGTAGGATGGAGTGATTTAGTGAAATAAACTGTGTAATTTTCTTTGCTTTACTTTTACGTGTACAGTTAACCTGAACTAGTACTGGCAATAAGCATCTTGAAGACGTGCTCACAATCACTGCCTACTAAATTGCGAAGTGTTGTAAATGTCCCTGCAACTTAAATTTTTGCTTGCAATGCAAGACAAAAAAAAAAGTGTTTGAGTACAAAACTTTTATGCAGTAGATGTAATTCTCTTTTACCACAAACTGCATCACTTTTAATGAAGTTACAGTCATTTTTAGCCTTCAGGGGTTGACTCAACCATGACCAGTAATAAGTGATTATACAGGATATACTAAATAATATAAGTGTTGACCTCAGTCAGCATAATCCGAAAGTAGTACGTCTCTCTCTCTCTCTCTCTCTCTCAATATATAAATATAAAAATCGATTGAAAGATAGATAGATGAATCCCGAGACAGATTTCCACCTATGTTGCAACCTGCCTATTTTAAAACCTTATCAACTAATCCTTTTGGACTTTGAAACCACTAAACGCATATCCAGTATCTGGGATGACCGTGCATAATGTAGTCTTAGAAATTGTCAATACAAAGCTTCGTATGTGATAAGGATTCAGAGTGACCCGAGTTATTTCTGCAAAACGTTTTACTGTGAATATGAAGTTTGTCTGCAACAAGCAGTTGGGTGACAAAACAGATATCTTTTTATATATCATTTAAAAATACATCTAATACATTTTCAAATAAAAACAAAGCATAAGAACAGACATGCATGTGCTTACATGAATTGTTTTTTTTTTTTTTTCATAAATACGATACTTAAATTAACACCAGCATAACTATCAGCATTGCTACACCCATTATAATTCAACTCAAGGGTGGCCGGTTCACCTAACACTCTTCCCCAGGGAGAACCACAATTTACCATCCTGCCTGTCATCATAATCTATCGATTTTTCGCCCCTTAACCCTGAAGGCTAAAAAAACCCTTCTTTTAGTTGCAGGAGAAAGACCCTAAGTGAAAAATATGTCTATCTGTATATATCAATTCATACCAATTAGTGGTGTAACACGTTGGGCCTAACCGATTGAATAGAGCATCATTAGGTATTTGACGTATTAGGTATTTTGAAATCACCCATTTTTGCCGATTGTTAACACATACCAACATAAGACACAGATAATGACATTCAAGAAAAAAAAGCAGATTTTTCTGTTTTAAAGTTAAATACTAAAAGGGCAAACTGATGTAAGACTGTCAAATGTTCTGCCTGTTATTCATACACAGTATTTATTGTTGTAAGGTTTATGGGTTAAAAAAAAAAGAGAAACATGCGTCAAGTTAAGGAATTCGAATGTACTGCAGGGGTTTTCACTGCACAGTAATTGCAACAAGAATTACCACTGCACAGTAATGGCAACAAGCATTAAGACGTCACAACAACCGGATGATGAATGACAAATATTAAATCATTGCGTTATTTTCACAGCGCTCCCTCTCAAACGTCAGCTGTAATTGTGTTGAAATTAGATCGCGACATGGTGATGCAAGTTCAACGTCAGCAGACGTGTACTCATGCTTCCAGTGGTTTCACACACACAATTTGCCTGCGTATAACAAGTGCTCTAGTGTTCAACTGGCAATCTGTAAGCGGTTAATTGTCTGAGTAAAACCTCCATACGCCACTAGCTGCTAGCATACCACTCATATGGGGAACCGTTAACTGTGACCCATGTGCCCGGGACGTCACACGCCAGTCCTGTAAACTCCCAATAGAAAGCTATATTGTTGCAGGACTTTATTTTTGTGGAAAATTAAAATATTAGCCGAGCTCTTCGAAGCTTTCCCAAGACAAACAAGAGGCGGACACAAGCCCTGCATCTTACGTTTAATGTGTAATAATTAACCCAAAAACTACAACCCAGGGAAAGTAACCGCTATCCCGCCGAGATAGCATATTCCGACTGTTTAGGTTAGTCCGAAAATGTTTAAAGCAAAGAAGAGGAATGTTTAGGTCGTGCAGCTCAGTTGCCGGCGAACCCGTGCGGCTTTCTTGCTAGCGTTAGATGCTACGCTAGTTGGCTAGCTACGGCTAGCTGACAGTAAGGCACAACCTCAGTGGGCTTACCTGCAAATGGATCACTTGGGAGTGAAAGCCCAGTAGATTCGATAAACGTCGGCCGCAGGTTCGGGGCCTCGTGAGATTGTTAAAAAAATAAAAAATACCGCCCCCTTTACAGAGCCCCCTCTATCTACACAACGTGGCTTAACAGAGACGGTACAAAGATGACTTGAGGTCATGCGATTTTCAAGAGCACTATTGTTTGTCGGTTAAAGCGCCACATTTCCTCAAAGCCCCCCTCTGAAGATGTCCATCCGGTTAGTCCGGACTACCACCCCCCCTCTGCAACACACCTGCCTCTTCAACTGTAGTCACTACGCGACAATTAGAAAAAATGTAGTTGCTCAACTAGCACAGTAGACGACGTTAATCCTTTTTCCACTTGTCAGTCATTGCTTTGTTCCTTCCCTCCATGACCAAACTTTCATTTTTTTTCCTTTTTCTGAATAAATATTTACATTTTGGACGAATCGCTTGTGTTTGAAATCCAATTCACACATTATTCCAAAAGTAAATGCAATTCGTTAAATGTTCTCTTTGATACGCACGTCCAAAATATACAGTGCATATTCTGTCGTCTAAGTGCATTCATTCTCTCCGGCGTTAGCTATTTTAGACCTCTTCAGCCCTCTGCTGGTGTTTTAGCACATCTGCGTCTTTAAACGACTGTTGCCCAGTCCGTTATTAAACCAATGCACACCTTATATTTCACATTTCACTTTGGTGAGCCCTGCTTTAGACTCTGAAGTTTACAGTCAAAATTTGAGACTTCAATTAACCTAGTAAGTATGTTTTTTGGAATGTGTGAGGAGGTCGGAAACTCATACAAACTCCACACATGGAAGGCCAAACCTGGATTCCAACCATCAAACTTTAGTGGTGGATGTGCTTAGCAGTGGGTTACTGTGCCACACCTTTACATATTTATCTTTATCAATAACTAATATTTGTTTAGACTGATCATGTAAATAAATCATTGGAATTGGACGAGCTGTTGTATAATTTATCATAAAAAAAAAAAAACCCAAGTGAAATTGGGTCCTTCTGACGATCTCAATATAATCGAATGTGCAGCGCGACAGTAGTTGGGGTATCAACTGCTGTGAAATAGGCCCCTCCTGAGATCGTATCCATCTTTAAAATAGTCAAATGAATGTAAAACTCAGTAAATCAACACTGCCTGCACAGAAATTAACTTGAGGATAGATACACTGTATTGTCTTGAGGAGTTATTTAGGTTAATGCCAGCTCTTCATACTGTGGATTAGTGCTGCACAAACATACCTGCCCCTAATCACACAGCATTAAGCACTTTATCTGATGAGGGGAATATTTAGTTGCCTGTTTTTTTTTTTTCATATTCAGTATGTAATCCTAATTATGATCAAGTTAAAGGCACATTTTGACCGTATTATTTTAAACTGGAAGGTGAGATTTTAAATACCAACAACACGCTCCCAGCAAAACAAGTAAATCAAAACAATAAAAACACTTCTTTCCAAGAATTCATTTGGCCCTGTGTTTTTGATTAAAATAGCCGGCATTTATTTGGAACATTTCCATTTGGGCACTTAAGGTATAGCAGTTGTAGGAGACTCAAAGGCTCAGTACCAAAGTATAAACAGAAAATATATCACACATGGGAAAGTTATTACATTGTTTTTATTACATCAATCATTCCATTTGTTATGTTATAGAAGCAGCTCAATGTTTTGGCCTTCAATTTATATTTGTGAAGAGCAACTAATTCAGTTGTACACACACACACACACACAAAAAAAACATTCAAAACCAGCTTCACTTCCTATCTGCTTGAAGGCTATTGATTAGTGCTGAGATATGGCAATAACAAAAGAATGCCGATCAACAGAACAGTAAATATTGTCTTTTAAAAATGATCTGTGCAAGTACCTCAATTTGAGATGGTTTAAGACAGGAATCTAATGTGTACTTATTTGGAGGAACATCATGAAAATTAAAGGCGTGGATTTAAGAGGTGTGGTGCTTAAAACACCAACTAATCATAATTGTCAGTGGGGCTACAATTCTAAAACAACAAAAACACTGGCAAATAAATCGTACCAATAAAAGTATATGGATCATGAACAATCTTCACCGGGTTTGAATAGTTTAGTACAGCGTTGCAGTACACATATCATAGTGCCTCAAACCTCAACGCATGAGCTGTCACATTTATTCCATACACCGTTATTTTAAATGACGTGGTGACATCATTACTGCATATTTCAGCAAGTGACACCTCAATGATTTATCCCAACCTATTTTGTCAAGTTTTTAGAGTTAATAATTACAGATTTATCCGAACCTATTGTGTCAAGTTTTTCGCGTTAATAATTACAAAGAGAACAACACACGGATAGCGATGAATTCAGCTCTGACTGCAGCGGCATGTACAAGCATGCACCTGTTTATAAATTACAATATATCTAACAGGATTATTAAAGTACATTTAGTAGTCAAATAAACTGGCTCTAAAAATAAGCCCTATAGGCTAATATCTGTTTTAAAACTATGCAAAGGAAGATGATATTTACAAAAGCCATAGTACAGCGATGTATGGCAGTGATTCTGGAGTGTCTCCATACAGAGTGCGAGTAATGAGTCTTCACAGCTGAACATCTTCAGGGATTCTGAAAGGAAGAAACACATGACATGCTTGGGAAAATGTTACATATCCCATCCCGATCTTTATATTTATTCATGAATGTTACCATCTTTGATATTAGGACGTTTGTAAAATTTTCGCTTCCACAACGATGGCAGGATTCTCAATATCGCCTTTGCTCTGAACCATTCTCAGCTCCAACAGTGCAGGGCTGGGCCTTTGCCCTGGACCGGCTTTTTCTGAAACATTGCAGAGCAGTTCATAACATTAACTACAAGAATATTGCAGTAATTATTTTCCTTTGATAATTGTGATGCTCGTTTCAAATCTGTACAAACAAGGCTAGGAACAAATTGTATGAAATAGTCAGAAGTCTAAGAAAAAATGACATACCATTAGCATAATTAATGGTCCGTTTAATTACATGGTGCATAACCGAAACAGTCTTTTCACAGGCAGCCTGGGGGTAAAAAAGAAAAAGAGTCAGAATGATTACACCGAGTGGTCATTATCACATTGCGTCAGCTATTAAAGGACTGAGAGAGCATTGCAGAGGGGTGTCTGAACCTTCAGGTCTTTCGGATGATGATGTGTCCATGCAAGCAACAAGGCAGCAAACAGGTCCCCCGTCCCCACAAAAACAGCGTCAACTTTGGGGATGTCCATGCAGATCTTCTGAATGCTCATCGTACCATCTGGCTTTTCTACATGGCAGAATGGACAGCAATATTTGAGCGTGACGGGTACTGTTTGCAATTGCAGTTTGTTTGTTGGGGTGAAAGCCATTTGCAAAAACTACACAAAACTTTGCAGATCCAGGATGTTTTTTGAGTTCCAATTGAATTTTGTCTTTGCCCAAGAATGGAAAGGTACATGACAGATATAAATAGTTTAATGAGTCCTGGCCCCCATTCATCGTAGCACACAGGGTCACCATTGCATCATTAGAACAGCCTGTCCACAATCAAAAGTGAAATAAACACTGTTCTCATTTGATTTATAACGTTTTATCTACCATGAACCAACTAGTCACCTGCTAACAAACAGATGGACAAAGAGTGCTTCACTAAGAGCTCTTCTCGTTAAGAAATTGTGCATTTTGAATATTATTCTATTCAAAGTTTGTTTATAACTTACCTCAAAAGGTTAAAAAGGGTTGAATGTACACAGAGTAAGTGGCGATGCTACTTTACCAATTTTTTGGCTTCCGATGGCCACAAGGTACTGGCCTCCTTGATTCGAAGGCAACTCAGTACTAGTGAGTACCACTGTTTTTGGACCCATCTTGTGAAGCAACTCCATTGCCTGAGGAGTACACGGGACACAATTATGCACACAATCTTGGACTGCTTTTTATAAAATTCTAAATTGAATGACAAAAGGTACCCACATTAAGAGCATCTTCTATGGTGTGGATTTTCTTCCCAGTTAAAAGCCTGTTTAAGAAACGCAGATGAATTTATCGTCTGTCTCTTTTACAAACATTTACTCGTGCATTTCTCCTAGACTGTATCTCTGACCATGTCACATCAGTCGCTTTCTTTCTCCACCTTTGTATTCATTAAAAGGCCACTCACTCTGCTTCAAACTGGTTGGGGGTAAGAATGTCGGCCAAAGGCACTACTTTGTCCCGGTAGACTGGCAGAAGTTCCTCTGGGACATACTGGAAAAGGCACCAATTTAAAGGTTTGTTATGACTTTTTTTTTGGATATCGTCTCACTTCTGCTGAGTCTAAACACATATTGAACGTATGGAAAAACGACAACAAAAAGATCTTCACAAAATCTATGTTTATGACAAGGGGAAAACTCATAAGGCTCAATTAGCTGCTCGCACCAAAAATGGGATGGGGGTGGGGGTCAGGTCACTCTGTCTGCATAGACATCGTCAAACTTGCTTAATATTTGCAAGATACCATTTTTATCCTTTTTCGGATTATGGAGTAGGCAAGAATAAAGCAAAACCATAACGGCGTATTAATACAGTACATTAAAATGCTCACCATTGCACCATGGTCTCCCATTACAGGGTCACAAACTGTCACAAAAAAACAAGCCAAAAAAAAAAAAAAAAGGGAGGAGTTAACTACTTGGAAGATTTGTCTGTTCAATTTTGCATTGAATCAACCAGTATTGCACTCACCATATACTAAACTGGGATTGGCCTTTTTGAGCTCTTTAACAATCTCAACAACAGTCATCAGGAAGGACGTGTCCCTGCTGTACCCTAGGTAAGGAAAATGGAAACAAAACACGTGATTTAAGAGGTATGCAAATGCAAACGAGACTCGGTCTTGTAAAAGCTATATTTCAGAGCTTTAGCCGCACAATAACTGTGCGAACAATATAAACATTCCTTTAGAACAGGGGCAAACGCAAGGGGCCACATGAGAAACTGGAGCGCTTGCTGAGAGCACTAACCTCAACTTTGTCTCTAATATTTTGAATACAGAGTACAAATAAAAATTATATCGTCACGTTTTAATAAAGTGCTCTGTGTGGAAATATTTTCACACTTTAAAAATTATTTTAATTTTGTGCAGCAACTCATCTGGGAAGAATGTTAGCGTATTATTGACAGTGACATATCATGATGATGTAGTGATGACTTTTACTGTACTCAAACAGAGCTGTAGTACCAGAGTCCGGACTCGACACATTTTTTTTTTGGGGGGGGGTTTCTTTGACTCCTTGGCATGTGACTTGTAAAAGCTTCTTCGCCACTCAACTGAGTCCAGCGATATTTTCA